ATTCTGACGACGGACAATCAACGTTAGCATGGGTAGAGCGACTGCGAGATCAAGGCGCACTGCTTGGCTTCAAAGGAACATCAGACCCACCTCCGTTAGGGTCTAATCTCGAGGCGGATACCTTTTCCCTGATGATTCAGACTCGATGGCAAGAGAAGATGTATCAAAAGTTCGGCAATCACCTTGTAGGGGTCGACGCGACTCACAATACAACTGTCTACCGCAATCTCAATCTTACAACAATTATGGTACGCGACTACTGGGGCCACGGGATCCCTGTCGCTTGGATGCTGGCTTCAAAGGGAACTGAAGAAACAATCACCTATTTCATCAAACTCATTTTCATGCGAAACCCCTCCGTGAACCCTCGGAACGTGATGTCTGACCGAGACCACGCTCAGATCAATTCATGTGTAAAGGTCTGGGTTGCTGCGGTGATATTTCTCTGTTGGTGGCATGTTCTCCATGCCTGGCAGCAACATCTACGGATCGGTGATCACCCTGAGCTCTGGAAGCTTCTGAAGGCCTGGGTACGTGTCTCGAGCTCAACAGAGTTTGACGAAATGTGGCGCAAGATCAAGGAGCTGTCCCCCAAGCCGTTTGTAAAGTACCTCGAGACTACCTGGCTTCCGGAACGCTACAAAAAAATGTGGTCGAACGTCTATCGGAAAGGCCGAAATATTCACGAAGACATCGATACCAACATGCTCCTTGAGGCATGGCATCATGTCTTGAAGGGTAAATTTCTTCATGGCAAGCGAAATCACCGAATGGACCACCTTCTTCACTGTCTTGTCAATGAAGTACTTCCTCATTATAGATTGAAGCAGTCGCGTCAAGAGATCGGTTTCCAGGGTGCAAATCTTGAGGTGTCGGCACGAAAGGAGGTGGCCAAACTTGCCACCGAACAATATGCGCACATTTCTATTACGGTACGCATTACTAGATCAGTCTCAATTCATGCTAGCTCACAAAAAAAACGTCAGAAAATTGACGATAGTCATTTTATTGTCCCATCACACACTAATCCGGATAAGAACTATGAAATTGACCTCGATTTGTATCTTTGTAGCTGTCCTGTATTCCCCCGCATACGCTTTTGCAAGCACATGTGTGCCGTCCAGATTTTCTTTAGTATTCCTAGCGCGGACGCGCCGCTCTTCGATTCGACAGCCTCCCCACTCGAAAACCTCCCACCATCCCCTTCTACTCCTTCACGGCCTGTCGAGGGATCAAGCCCGAAGATTGGTCCTGGAAGTCATAATGACACAATTCAGAAACTTGAAAGAGTAGCCGCAAGGCTTAGAGAAATTGACGAACCACGTTTTTCTCTCGCAAACCTCAACACCGCCCTCGACGAATGCTTAAACATTTCGGGACCGCTCTCTAAGGCTGGTGTGCTTCCGGCCTCTCAACAAGTGGCACCAAATGTACGCACCTGGAACGAGACCAAGAAAGTCATGCCAGCAATCAAGACTGGACGGAAACGACTGGGGGACCAGGCGTATGGAGCGAGGGTAGCGAGCGGGAAGAAAGCGAAGGAATGCGGATCTGGCTCGCGAACTTCAACTTCGACCACGCCCGTAACTAGCCACACGGCGCATCCAACTCTCCTTCCAGCACCAACCGCTCTTCTGCAGCCACCGATGCCAGTTCCTCTACACCCAGCGCCGATGTGGGTTCCATCTGGTTACCCAGTTCCTGGAATTTACAATAGGTATCAGTACATATCGTCAAGCCCTATCGCCATGGGAAACCAGTATTTCCACTCCCCACATACCTATCCTCCAAGTGCTTGAGCCGTTTTGTGGCGATTTCTTCGTATATTGATTTGTATGAAAATCTACCATCGTTGAAATTACGTGTACGCAAGTAAGAATGATTTGGAAGTGGCATTGGAGTGGTGAGAAGGCAGGAGACGAAAGTTCACGACCTTAAGAAAATTTCGACGAACACTCGGTTATGTTGGTCGCCGGACTCACGTGATGTTTTACCATTTTAAGAATTAAGGTTTTCGGCAGAAAGTGAACAACTGTCGCGGCCCATTTGGCCCAGCATGCTCTACGCACTGCTATGGGTCGCCTTGATAAATGTTCTACCTCTTCTCATTGCCATCGCAAAGCCTATGGGCATCCAATCTACCAACTCGTTCCGCGCAAAGTCTGAGCGGGCTTGGTTGTGGGGCTGGGCTTGGGGAACAGAGAGCACCGTTTCCGTCGTCGACCGTTCTCCGATACTTTCCTTTCCTTCAAGGCCAGGTAATTTTCACATTTAAGTTCAATACTCAGGAGCTCAACTATCGACATCTGCAGCTGCTTTTGGTGCTGAAATTAATGATCCAGTTCTCGGTTACGTTATTCCTCTGTCGTCATTCACGAAGCCTTGCACTTCCAACGATATGCAAGTACCAGATAACAGTGGCTGCCCTTCTCTTTGCCTGAGTGGACCTCGTCATCCAACTGAAGCCTGGATTGCGCTGGTACAACGAGGAAAATGCGAATTCGTAAGGAAAGTACGTGAAGCTCAGAGACTTGGCGCAAGAGCAGTCGTGGTGGGTGGTGAGGATCCAGAAGTCACAGGAAACCCCGATACTTTGGTCAATATGTACAGTCCTGGTACGTCCTCATCCACTCTCAATTGAAGTGAAACATATGACCACACAGAAGACGCCTCTGATATCAAGATCGCGTCCACCTACATCAAGTATTCTGACTATATGCAACTTTATGGGTTAATCCTAGCCTCAAATACCACCCATGGCGGGCTATCCACTCTTTCCCTTCTTATCACTGCAGAATATTCTGCTTGGGAATGGTACTCGTATGTCTCGGACATTTCTGCCTCACTCTCGCGTTTGATTCAGTTTTTCTAGGCCCATCATCACATTTATTGTTATCCTTCTCCTTCCTTCTGCCTTGACATTTATAACTCTCGTTATCCATCGAATTCGAAGCGCTCGAGCTGCGCAACGTGATCGTGCGCCGGAAGATATTGTCAGAAACCTCCCCTGGAGAATCTGGACGGGAACAGGATGGGAGAAACACGAAGCAGGCGAAGATGCTGATGCCTTCCCTGACCGTGTCTCATCGGTGGATGTAGATCTAGAGCGGGGCGTAATCTATGAGGAGCTGCCTCAAGCCAACGACTCTCCAAATTCCCCTGAAGAAGACCTGAACGCGTCAACATCAAATGCAGAACCTCTTCCGGACCAACCCTGGTTTGAAAGCCAAGTCGAATGTGCTATCTGTCTGTCAGAATTCGTCAAGGGCGATAAAGTGCGAGTTCTACCCTGTCATCACATCTTCCATCTACACGAGGTCGATGAATGGCTAATTCATCGGAAGAAACTGGTAAGATTCTATTGTATTTCAACCTAAACTCAGTTAATATCATCATCGCCATTAGTGCCCTGTCTGTAAAGCAGATGTGACCCAGCCTCCACCAGAATTAGTCCATCCACATCCACCAGTTGAACACATTGTGCACGATAACGACAATACGCCTGTCACAGAACGAACACCTCTCCTACGCACCGGCTCTGGGGAACATTCATAAAACTGACACTCCTTTTTTTTTTTGTAATTGTAAAATATACGTCTTGTTGTCGCCCCAAGCTCGGATCTGTAAAAATACGTATACCAGACGACTATCTACCCTCACTAAATAAATTGTCCTTCCTCGCCAGTCTTTTCGACCCGCAATCATAACCTTTATTGAAAGACGTAATTTCAATACTCGCATCTGTAGGACTTTTTAGACGGCTTTTGTGACAGGGGCTTGAGCGCGCGGCTCCAAAGACGCGCGTTGGCTCGTACGCGCCTTCCTCTTCCTTCCTATCTCCAACTGGCACATCGAGCTTGAACTTCAACCATGTTTCTATCAAAAGTCGACTTACTTCATAGCTGAAGCTCGTCCGACCTAATTATCGATTGCGACAGCGGTGTCACACACGTGGTCCTATGCCCCTTCACATTTCCATATCCTCCATTCATGATTCAGATGGAATGACCATCAGGCAGGCCCGATAAATCGGTGAGCACTTTACCGATTTCGTATTCACGTACGCTCTCTGACGGTAACACCTATTTGGGTCTAGAAAATGTTATGTCATCACAACTCGGGGTATGATGGAATCCAAGATAAAAACTCAAAATAACACCCCAGCACTTCACGGCCCCTCTCAGATTCTTCTCTACCCAACCGGAATACCCAGGAACCCCGAATTCCTTGAGAAATTGACGCAGGGTGAGTCATATTAGGACACTCGAAATTCTTGGGATTCTGGATTACCCACACAAGACGCCAGGGCTTTGCCGAAGTTCCAACGTCCTAGCTGCCAAAAGTCCAAAATTGCGCCTACCTACTTACAGCGATAATTGACATAGACGTCGGCGACAACTTCACGGCACCGCAATTCCAATCCCTTGAAGTCGCGCTGTCGCAGGGCCGCCACGGTGATCGGTGCATGTACACCAACACCAACATCGAACACATATCGTCACCGCTTTGTCCAGTCGTTCTCTTTCTGTTGATTACCACCGAATCTCCCACCAAATCATGGGTTTCCTTTTGGGGTTCCCAGGGATGACTTTGCTGGACCTTGCAGAATAACAATAAGACCAGGAACGCCACGCGAAGATGACAATAGCCGCGGTATCAAGGATCCAATAACATTTGAGCACCAAAGTATATTTCTAGTGGCTCAGGCCAGCTCAGGCCGGTTGTTGCGCCGGCGTTGGCGTTTGTTCCACTTTCTTATTGTTTTCAGACCGGATCACCTCTTCGCGCCTTCCCTGGAATGCAGAATTCCAGTTCGTCCCCTGAAATTCGCCCGAAAGGATTCGGTCAAATTCCTCATGGACCAAACTTTATTGCTGGCGGCTACAACCATAATCATATATCGTGCTTCAACCACCCTCCCGCCTTGGTATATTGAGTTTATGTTGTCGAAGGACCCTACTTGCCGATAAGTCCACCTTGTGCAAGAGGGAATAAAGTAATTCTCATCTTCGGCGACGCCTTGTTTTCTCTCCCCTCCACTGCGCCACCCACCTCTTAAGCGATGTATCAGACCCCTAAGAAGCCACCGCCAGCAAATAAGAGACACAGTACGTCAAGTTCGCCTTGAATGATGCTCTCGTCTGACAATTCCATGAAAGCCAAGCCTTGCAAGTATTTTCAAGCAAGGAAGTGCCCCCACCCAGCCGACGTCTGCGATTTTGCCCACGTAGTCCCAGCTCTACCCGTAGGTCGCAAAAGCTTGATCATGTGTCGGTATGACGCAGCAGGGCATTGTAAAAATGGATCGTCGTGCCACTATAGACATCGCGGCGATGGTAAGTTACTTGTCAACTGTGGAAGTGAAGCGAGTTTGACCACCTTAGCTTATGAAGGCGTATCGGTGGACGGAGTGCTCATTGCTGATCCCGAACCAAGGCCTGAGTGGCAATCAATTGGGTCCCCCACGGACAATGCAAGTCTGTTGCCTTCTTGATGGGTGTTGTAAACTTACTTCAGGGCGTTAGGCTTATGCTGAAACGTCGCCTTTCGGTTACGCGTCCTATAACGACCCATGGGGATCGTCCAGTGTTATCAATATTCCCGTATTTCCCTCAAACTCTACACTCCACAATGCAATCGATTTGTCACCCCTTCATTCACGCAATTCAATATGCACCACGACGTCGATGTCCAGCACTGATTCCGATGATGTTGTGGTCATCACAGAAGCCCCTTCTTTTACCGAACACTCGCACTTATACCAATCTCAGGTCCGAGTGGTGGAAGCACCTTCTCCTACTCACATACCTCCACTTTATCCAACTCTCAATAACTCCTTGGGAATTCATACGCCTACTTGGGTCGACCCAAGACCACAAGTTAATGTTACCCCTCGAGTGAGTTCAAGATCTTCTGTGCGGCCGAAACCCCTGAAGTACAAGAGTGAGTTTCCAGTCACTCATCAATCAATAACTAACGATCGGTTATCCAGCAAAGCCTTGCAAATTTTACAACAGGGAGACGGGATGTCCTTCTGGCGAAGAATGTACCTTGTAAGACTACCTCATTGCTCTCCTGACCGTTTAATAATGGCTCCAGTCGCCACAATGAACTGGTACACCCAAATACCTCTAAAAACTATTTCCCCATTTCCTGGCGTGTCATTGGAGGCGGCGTGCTGATTGGGAGCAAGAAGACTGACTGTGATCCGGAGGAAGGTTCTGTTTCCTCCTCGGAGTCTCTGGGTTCTCTTGAGCCCTCTGCACCCAAGCCGACCAGCTTACCCCTACCCAAAACATTTTCTCGACCACGGTCAAACTCCATCCCTCCGACCCCCACCACAAACCAAGTCAAGGTTGGATCTGTATGTCATCTACCCTATTATAAGCTGTAAAGATTTAATCACGCGGTGGTCTTACAGCTCTTTTCTGCGGAATCCCCAGGTGTTCTCTGATGAACTCTCCATTCAAGATAACTTGGTCTCCGATGAACTTTCCTGTCCCTTTTGCTCAAAACGACTACCTTTCGCATTATGGATTCTTACCTAAAAACTTGTAAACTGTATAACAATCGCTTTGCTGTGAAGTGCTGTAAGCTGTATACATACATAAGAGAGTGAATGTGATTGTGCACATTGCTCCCTGACATACCATCAACCTCTTATCAGATAAGACGCCATTAGGCCAAGATGACCCGGAGAACGTCTTAGCGCCGCAAAAAAGACTTCCTGTCTCCAGGCACTGCCTTTAAGTACTGCAAGGCAGACAGCAATATTAGAAATATGACTTCCTGACAGAGACCCCATCTGGAACGATCAGTGTACCAATGCAGTATAAATACTCACAGACAGTCAGAGTTACACAAACACCCTGGGAGATACATATACCCGGTTCTTGCCCTTCAAACCTCGGTTATCTCGTCCAATCTACAGCATAATGAGCTCTACCGATTATTCGAAGCCCTTAGCGACGCTCCTTCGTGAAAGTACCCATGAAGCTCACGAGCTGGTGGCTAGAAGCTCAGGGGCAAAGCTGCTACTAAGCGGAGGCCTAAGCAAAGACGAGTACACGAAATACCTGATGAATCTTTGGCATATTTACGAGTGAGTGGGGGTCCTCTCGTGATGTTTCGAGTTGAGCTTTGTTTATAGTACACTGGAGAGGTGCTTGGAAAAACACGCCACACATCCAGCTCTTGAGCCGACATATAATCCTACTCTACTCGCGAGAGCCTCATCTCTCGCGGCAGACATCTCATTTCTTCTGAACGTCGAGGAATCCGCATGGAAATCGCACCCAATGCACGTTGCCTTGATGGCGCAGCGACCGCGGAATCTATCAGCGTATGTGGAACGCATTCAAGCGCTGGGTGATTCAAGTGATCCCGCTCCCCTTCTTGCACACTCCTATGTACGCTATCTTGGGGATTTAAGCGGGGGCCAGACGGTTCGCCATGTACTAGCAAAGGCGTACGACCTCGATGAAGCTTCTGGCTCAGGAATTTCTTTCTATGGTTTCAAGGAGCTGCGATCGTCGAATGCCGCTTCGCAAGGAGAAATGAAACGGATCAAGGAGTGGTTTAGAGAAGGTATCAACACTGCTGGTAATCTGGGCGTTGAGACCAAAGGTAGCTTTACGCAGATATAGACGTCACATCTGACGAGAAAGGCAAGCCACTTACTACATTCGTCTTCAGCATCCATCATCGAAGAAGCGAACACGGCTTTCGATCTCAACGCCAACCTATTCACATCCATCACGGGAAACTCGCGCGTGGCTGTAACTCATGACGCAACCGACGTCAACAAAGGATATACGTTATCCCAAGTTGTGTCCGTCATATTGGCAGGTATGGAATCCGCAAAAATCCTGTTACCCCAAACTCACCTGTTTTACCTTCAGTCTGCATTGCGCACTTCCTCCTCGTAGTAGGTGGCTTTACTGGTAGTCGAGGATACCAGAAGCTCATCGAGCTGGAGCATTGGTTTACAACACTGTGGGCACGGTACCACGGATAGACATCCATTGATATCATGATACAACTGCTGGGCAGCCACGATTCCTATTTTCTTTCTTGAACAGCTCGTTCGTTCCCATGGAAGCCATCTTGTATCATCTTGCATATATAATCCGCCGTTTGACTGGTTTTTCTGAAATCGCACAGCGAGTGTTATCGAAGTACTTAAGGTAATCAAGTACAAGTCCTAGTTTGCAAAATTATGTAACATAAAATGTCCAAAGAGATAAGTTCAAATCAACTGGACTACACCTGTCGGTGTCCAGAAAACCCGGGACCGCCACGTCCGTAATCCTCGTGGAGATGTTGTTGAGACATTGCGAAAGCGCCTGCGTTTTGAGGCGGGTATGGGCTTGCAGATCGGTCTGGTGTCGATAGGGGTACGTAAGAACTTCTCTTCTGGTTCACTCCGCCTCTTTTCCTAGAAAAGAAGCCCCTCTTGCCACCCGTACCCTCTTTCTGTCCCCGTCTGCAGCAACATCTCCAGATGCATAGACCAACGAGAATGAGTACGAGCATGAGACAACCGAATAGGATATATGGCCATCGACTGAGGATTTTTTCTTCGTATGCCTTTTTCTTCTCTTCCGCAGATATGGGTGAATGTTGCATTTGAGAGGCAGGAAGAAGAGCCCATTTCGCGTCACTAATCGTGTCATTCCCCCCAAGTCGCACCTTGATGAAGTCGTTACGGGCAGCCGCAACGTTCGTCACGGACGCTAGTTGAATATAAGGATGAGCCTGTGATCCGTTAGTCCCCACCCAATTTCCAAAGTTCAAAAGTGTGTATGTGTTTCTCACTGCGTTCTTGTTAATAAACTGCCGGTCACCAACTATTTTGACTCACGGAAGCTCATCCCCAAGATCATATCATAGTGACCAAGTATACTGAAGGCGGACGTGATTGGTTGGAACTAGGATCACAATCAGATAGACATTATGCACTGAAAGAGAAAAACTTACAGCTCCAATGCAAACCTGCTTCCCCGTACTGTCTATTTGATTAAAATTGTTATCGACAAGGTCCAGGGGATGCACGGGATACGAGATTCCTCCGAAATTGAAAGAGACGTTTAAATATTGACCACAGGGGACCAGCCACCATTCGTTTTGTGTATCGTAATACGCTCCGTTAACACGTCCATAGATTGCGTCTGAAATAGCTCGCGGTACTTGTGAAAAGGTGAAACTATGGGTCAAACGCAATGGGCTGTTAGTTGATCAACATCAACGGAACAGCTTTATACTCACCCACTGTCAATAACCGCAACAAACTGGCCGCTAGGCGCATTCGGCACAATGGATTTCAATTGAATCGGTAGCCCATCAGGCCCAGTAATTCCATTGTTCTTATCGGTCAATGCTTGCCAATGTTGATCTGGGGGAAAAAGGCTAAGATATCCTTCACACCGACTAATCAAAGAACTTGCCTCCCTTCAAGATCCTATTGACAGTCTCCACATCAAGTATTGGCATGCTTGTTATATTCTCGAAACCCGGGACAAGTTCTGAAACCGTGATTTGACCCGTGAATGGTTCACCTGGGTCACTCTTTCGATCGAGCAGGAAAGAGATGTAATTTGCGGTCATTTTGTCCTGCTGGAAGAGACGCTGAAGCGTCGAGTAGCCAGTGGACCCACTGAGCTTCTTGCCAATGAGACTTCCAGTATTGGGGCCAAGCCCCAAGAGTCCGTCGTAGCCTTGGGAATGAATATCGGACGTGAATGTGGAGGTATCGTTAACGAGCACTGGATATAACGCGTGATGTTGAGATCTGGGTTGCGAAATAGGATGACACACTAACGGAAAGCTTGATCATTGAGGGTATAGTTTCCGAACTGAATTTGAGCGGTTTGAATATTTCCTGATGATGAAAGAGTGAGGGTCCTTCAAAGAGATGAAGAAAGTATTCCATACCTGAGGCCTTTCCGACGGCATACGACAGAGTAAGAGACTTGCCTGTGTCCTTTATACTGCCAGCTGGAGGTGATTGCGGAAAAGCCACCCATAGATCCGAGCTGGTGCTGGAGTCAGATTGAAGGCCAGCTGAATTCTGAGATCGACTTGCCTTCCGGTGTCCAGTAGAACTGGCAATGTTACACCCGCCAAAGTAATATTACTGACGTATTGCGCATTGCCAATGTTACCGATTGGAACAGGAGTGCGGCGAGAGAGAGATGGACTTGGGTTTCTGTTGACCTGGATGTGAACAGGAAAGGTGACAGCATGGACGGGAGTGTGGAAGACAGCAATAAGCAGAGTAAGCGGAATTAAGGAGCGCATTTGGTATAGCTGGAATAAAGAAACCCAACCAGAGAGAACGAGAAAGGTATGCAGAGCAAGCAAGAAACAAACGAATGACAGAAAGGGAAGAGCTTGAGTGTAACGCCGACAGCAAAGTTCTTGAGACCAGCAACCCAGCGCCGACCAGGCGGCAACCAATTTTCCATCACTGTGCACAGCAATCTCACGCGCCCCTGTTCAAATCCGCCAACATTCAAGCTTATTCAAGGACAATGCCGTTTTTCAGAAAAACATATCCTTTCCACTCTGCCACAGTTGAAAGCAGTTGACGGACAGTTTAGGCCGTACTTATGTATGGACGGCAGTTTAAGACCAGATTTTTCGCTACACACTCTTGGCTTGCTTGGACAGGTTGTTTGCGGTGATTGCCCTTCGACGCCGCAAGGCAGTAGCATGTTCTTCATGTGAAGGGCAGACCTCAAGAAATTTCGGAAAATGTCAGAAGGGGTCCAGGAAAACGCCCGAATCCAAAAATATCTAATGGAGGGCTTTTGCAAAAATTGTGCAATCAGTCGCCTCAAAAAAATACGTCAGGAAGATGAGCTTTCCTGCGGTGGAACTATCAACATGTTCCAAAGTGGTCACAGATCTAAGAGACAGTAAATATATGACTGTTTCAACTTCCAGTGCCACACCCAGCCAACTACCAGCGAGACAGTGCTCCTCGTCACGAAAAAACACAATGACAAAACCTCCAACTAAACTAGAGTGAGTGGGAAGCTCTCCCACCAACATAAAGACTCTGAATCGCGATGCAGAAAGAGTTTTGCTGAACTCGACCGCGGCAACAGCAAGTGGGTACACTCCACATAACGAGCAAGGCAGATGTGCTCAACGGAGTGCTTTGAGAAGAAGTAACGGAAAAGGTAACGTTCCTTTACACAACAGGACCCGTAAACCCGCCATCCATTGCCGTAGTGTCCCCCCACGAATCTGTCACCAGTCGAATCGGGACAGTCAATTGCAATTCCAATAGCGGGGAAGACTGCGGACATGGAGGAGCCAACGAGAGCGATATAAAATCCTAAAGCAGCAGGGGAGCGTCAGCAACATAGACGTCCATCCAGCGAATCACACGCATACCTTCACTTGAACGTTGGCTACATTAAACCCACCCACGTCAACGTCCTGATTCACACGCAACTCCCCCTCCCAATCAAGATGTCCTGACGATCCTGAAGGACAGCAATTGGATAGCAAAGGAGGCATAGGCCACACTCGGCCCTCGCCAATGGTAGTATTTCGCCACGATTTCTGTCCCTTGACTTCCACAGTAACTTGCCGCAATAAAAAAACACGAAGAACTGGTTTACATTCAGGTGGCTTGCCGGATAAAAAAGTTCGATTTGAGTCAGCTGAAGTGACACGGCCAAGGGAGGATGTAAAAAGTTCGCGGAGGGAAGATACGTTGCCGAAGAGTTGTAAATGGAACGGTATCACGTCGGTCAGCGCATATATTCGACCGGCGGGTACGAAGAGCTAGAAATTCATCAGACAAGTGATAGTTGAACGATTGGAAACAGGCATACATGAACCTCCAGTGGTTGTATTCCCGATCGTTCACGAGTTTTCATGCAAGAAGAAGCTTGATACCACTCTTCAGGCGAGGTTTTGATAGTTGAAAAGAAACTGGGTATTGAAAGGATAGGCCGATAGGCTCGAGTTCGGGGATAGTATTTGAAAGGTATTGAAATGCTGGAGAATCTCGTCAGCCCCGGTGCGTGGCTTGCCTATACTGATGATACGAACTGTTTCTTTTTCGTCCAAAATTCGACTTTGCTGTGAGGTATCCGAGTGACAATGATGTGTATATTGTAAGACGTCTTCAGAAACAGTGATGGAACGCCACGGTACATAACATGGAAGGAAGGGGGCAAGGGTCGAGTTGTGTCGCCATCTTCGAAGCAAGTTGGTATAATTACAGCAAAGGGTACTTGAGCAGGGCAAGTTGAGCTTTGAGATTCTCGACTGGTCCACAACTTGTATTGAGTGTTGAGAAGCTTGACCGATTTTCCTCCTGCTTCGGATATTATTGTCTCAAGCTTGCCTTCTACCTGTACAAGGTGAGCGCTGCACATTGGCGCCGCTTGAAAGAGCGACGGAACGCACTTTAATAACGACCTCTGAGATGTTTTCAGGATTCTGAAAACAGATAGTTCCATTGACTAAACCTTGCCGACCGTAGGAAGGGATTTCGGCGGATTCTTCCTGATCGTTCAAAACAACGGTCGTTTTCCCCGCTGTCTTTATGAAAACAAAGGCAGGTGTGGGTCGGGCATTGGATGGGGTGTGCTGTAGTGTCTGTTCGCCGCAAGCTGGCTCACAAGAATATGAAGGGGCCGGCGATGAGGGCGAGTAAGTCGGCAATGAAGGGTGGACTTGCATGTGGTATGTGGAGGGGAGATAAATGAAACATGTCTAGGACAGAGGAGATTAAAAGGACGAATGAGTCATGGACAAGAGTTATTTGTACCTGATAAAACCCGTGAAGATGAATTGGCACCGCAGCTGGAGTTAGGGAGACGCTTGGGTACTGGGAATGAGCTGCTATGTCAGCACAAAAGTTCAATGACTCGATTTACCTTCCAGATCTGGCAAGAAGATCAATATCCACAGTTAGGAACACAGGCACGGTGCCTTCCATGACATATGTTGTTATCTGCCAAGCACGTAGCCGAGAAAAAAAGGCGTTGGCTGCGGACGCTAAGTAAGCTAACAGGCGCCTAACGTTGAACATGCAAATGTTACATACATCTGCCTACGACGTCCGCCTCGCAGGCCGCTCCAACTGGGCCAAAGTTTCGTCTAACCGTCGCGTCCTCTCAGCATCATCCAGCTCTTCCCATCCTTCCCCCCTCACGTCGTGGTCTCCGACATTACTATGTTCAGAACGAGGACGTTGAGCTCTCAAGCTCTCTCGAAGAAACCCACTCAAAAGCAACGTGCTTCCTCGTGTGTGCCCATATGCAGGCGGTGGAGGCGCAGCGATGAGATGATCCTCGACATCCCCAGTGCCAACACCACTTTGAGCCAATGCCGCAGCATAAGTAGGTAGAGAAGGTCGATTCCATGGTGCGAATGCTATGGCAGACCCTGGTCCCCCACTATGGTAACTGGGCAACATCTCGCCTGCATGAAGGTAACTGTATCTTTCAACACGTAGTGTGAAAATACGACGTTCGAGGAATATCATTTGCCCCAGGATTGCAAGACCGAAGATGATGTGAATGAATACAGAAGAGGGTATTCTTCCTGGAATGGATGGCATGTTTGAGAGGTGTTTTGTGGTAAATACCCAGCCCACCAGTGTTCCTGCCAGACAAATGAATTGAGCAAAGGTGGCAATGAGCGTAATGAGGCGAAGTCCGCCAAAAGCGGGGCCATTCAGAAGGGCGAGGAAGCCCCTCTGTTTCGTGATTGACGGAGACGAGGGTACGGAATGCGTGTTGGTGCTCGAAAGTGTGGGAGGAGCCTGAGGGACATCGGGAACGCTCGGAAAGCCGGATCTACTACCCCGGTCGGCGGGGTGGCGAGCAGGAAGGGGTGGTGTAACGTCATCTTGCGATATCTCTGGAAGGAAATGAATTCCTTCTTGAAACCCGATTTCCCCCCGTTTCAAGGGCAGAGGACCAGCCTCTGCTTGACATTGGGCCCCACTTGGGCCGGGTGAAGCCATATCTCAACGGAAGACTGCGCCAGGCGTAGAAAAAAATTGAAAGGAGTGAGCGCAGCCCAGGGTATGGTTAAAAGGAGAGAATAAGAAGTCGTCAAGGCTCAGAATGAACAAGACACCAACCTGATGCCAACATTTGCAACCGTTACCTGGCAAACTATGGACAAGATATAATTAGCTCATAATTTCACCCACTCATTATCCTCGATTGCCATATACATTATATAGATGAATTCTACCTTGAACCGACTTTCAAGATCATTTATCTAGAGTAGTACGTAGGCAGTCAAGTTCCCCACCAAATGTGGGGGCAGGGAACTGAAGATTAACTCAAGGATCCGATTATGAAGTGGAAAATAAGCGAAATCCAGACTAGACATCTGGGACTGACTTAGAATCCTCGCGTGGTATTATCGGTCCTAAGTCAATGACGGTGTAGAAGGCGAATGTCTTGACCTCCGGAGGTTTATTGCCTTGGGGTATCGACGGTCCATCGCCGTCATTACTCTCCGACGGAGCTGGATCATCCGAACGGTATGTGTATGAAACAAGAGTGTTAAACTGGAGAAAAAAAGAGTCATGAGGCACGAAGGAGGAGATCATGAGGACAGTGCCCACCTTGACATTTCCTTGCGCCTCCTTCCCAATGACAACCTCCCCGCCTACAATCGTAACATTTGCCCTTTTCTCCAAAACGCCAACCGTCTTCGACCTGGTTGACCTGCCATCCTTTTCCCTGGCGCCACCTCTAATTCCAAAATCATCTCCCTCCTCTACGCCAAACATGTCCTCGTCATCATCATATTCCCAAGCCTCTGCAAAAGCCGCAATGGGGAAGGTAGACGTAGGTAGCGATATTACGAAAGGAGGTCGACGAGCTTTCTCCGGAGGACCATCTTTTGAAGGAGCCGTCGATATGTTGAGTCTTTGAGGAGACAGTCTTACTTGAATGGGGTCATATAGAGGATTCGTCAAAGCCAAATGAAAGGGATATGTCTTCCCAGCAACCATTCCTGTGGCAGGGGTCTTGTCGTCCTCCACGGCGGATGTCGATTTTCCGAGTGTCCGTTTAGCAGCTTCAGTAAGTGCCTTTTGCGCATGAGGAAGTGCGACTGTGATCGCTGGAAGATAGTTAGCCGCAACAAGTTTGATTTTATACCGCACGGACTGAGCCTTCTGCTCAGGCTTGATGAGGATATGTGTACAAGCTGGACACCGCTTTGACCTTTTGGAGTGGAGGGGTATGCGCAGAGGTTTCAAGTCGCTTGAGTGTCTTTCATCAGTTATAAGCGAAGACGAGAAACAGAGAAAAGAAACCTTGTTTGTAATGAAGTAACCCAACTATTTTCCCATCGTTGATCCAAGCTTGCTACCTCGCTGACATTCTCCAGATGCCTCATAAATTCGACGTCCGCATCCCCTCCTCCTGTACCGACAACACTGGCTTTCGCGATCTCAACCCGACTGCGATACTCTGCCATCTCATCCTTGTTCACACTCCTGTCCCGACCACTTACACCGATACCTCTACTGGACGTACTTCTTGCAAGGGGGTTGTACTTGCCTACCCCCGGAATGTCGCGGGCCAAGGCGGCAGATGCAGCGGCTGTGATGGAATTGGAGTGAAGATGATGTGAGTGAGCGGCGCTGCTCGGATGAGCAACCGCGTGGCTGGTGGTGGAAGAGGAAAGCGATGATGCACGTATGAAAGGTTCAAAATGGTCCTTCAGACGCTCAAACTCCAGCGAATCGGGGGCAGAGTCTTCGAACTTTTGTAGTTGTGCTATTGAATCATCATTACGTGGCTCCTCAGCTCGCAAAGTAGGACTCACCAGCAAGACCGGTTGGCTTCTCAAAGGTGATTCCCACCTCGGCTGAATCCCATCTGCAATGGTTACAGTAAAGGAAAAACGGGGGTTCACCAACTGTGCTTATCGGAACCGCAAGTCGACCGTCGCCAGACTCTGGTGGATCTGAGGGTACGACTGAAAGGGTATTGCGGCAATTTGGACACATAAAGCAGTTCCGGGCGCATCTGCGTCGCGTCAGCACGTTACATGGCATTTTGTGTACAAAAAGGTAGAACCTATTCTTTTCGGCCCTCACACTGGCACTCGGGACCTCGAAGAGGCAATTTGGGCAATAATATGTGCTGACCTCGACAGAGACACAGCGGTTGCAACGCACCGCGTCGCATTCTTCACAAAAGAAAAGAGTGTGCAATGGGTGAAAGCTGTAAGACGAAGAAGGGAGATGAGGCGGAGGAGGCGTCGTAGAATTAGAGAGACATGGACAGTGATAGTGCACACTGGGTGCCATCTCGGAGGTCAACGTACCGGCAACTTATCGGCAACCAAGGTAGTAATTGGTTGACAAAGAGGTGCATACATTATGTACCGCCACGATCTCACGATTCACACCTTCAAGTTTGCGAGATTCCTTCCAAATCCTCACAACTATGCCCCAGTCCCAGACTAACAAACTAACAATTAGCACCTCGTTTTCGGATGTCTTGAAAACTATGGGGGAAGACACCGTAGGTTCAACGGTTTCAAAATACCACAAATATGAAACCACTTACCACCTGGTGGCACCGGCAGTCAAACTCACAGCCTAACACCAACATTTCCAAGTGGACGCGGCCGTCACCCAAGCCAATCGATGTAGAGCGAGATTTAATAGGTGTGAACTCTCATTCTCGAGTCATCTCTCGATTCTCAAGTATTACCCCGTAGTTTTTCAACATATTGATATTCAAGAAGGGAAAGGACGACGGCCAACAATCCAACTCTTTGGCATCACTCAGGTTTAAAAAATACAAACTAATTAACACTTTATAATGACCAGAAACAATTAGGATGGCCACACTCTTTTGGCCCATGTACAGGATTTCAGGCACTATTTCTATTTTCCTTCTCCAGAGGGCATAACGGATGATGACTTGAAACCAATCAAGGATGCCTTGAATGTGAGGCGCTCTGCGGAATTTTGATCATTACTTCTTGATGTTCATTTTCATAGGATGCTCTCAAGGCCGAAAACGGCATTCCCATTGTCGACGACATTCAGAGAACAAGAGAGTATCCGCGTCAGGATGAGCGAAAGAAAGACTTTCTAAAGATATTCTTTCCCAACCCACAGATCATGAAGGCTGTTAGAGATAAATCTAACATTCGTCCTGCCGACCGACATGGATTTGCGTATACTTATTTCCAGCACATGTGTTTGGCAAAGAAAGACTCCATTATAAAGACTTCTTTCGCTCTCCCCAGAAGATCTATGAGAGTAAAACATCATACACTCGGCGATTTATGATGGACACCAAGGCAAGTTCATCTTTTAAATCAATGAGAATGGCTTTCATATTGATTCCTTGTGCAGATAAACTCGATGACTTGGGTCAAGGTACCTTCTGGGTCATACATGCTCATCTCCGAGTTGCAAAAACAATCGCATTGCCAACTAGAAATTTCTGTGAAGTGGGTTGGATTATTACACTTTTTTTGGTACTACTCACTCTGGGCAAGGTTCGACGATTTAGAAGTTTACGGGTTTGAAGGGGATCCGCACAAAATTGCGCCATTGCGCATCCTCAGTCTTGATATCGAATGTAGCATCCGTCCAATCCGTCCTGACAATCCAAATCCCAAAGACAATGAGATGTCCTTCCCTGACCATAGAAAATTGGAGGACGACGTCCAACATGGTCACTCAATATGGTCAATTTGACTCATCGCATTATCATGGCCGCGCTCAGTTGTGGTCTCAACAGGTGACAACGAACCGTTTGTACGCAACATCTTCACTTTAAGATCTTGTGCACCTATTGCTGGGGCGGAGACCTTCTCGTTCGACTCGGAAAGTGAATTACTTAACTCTTGGCAGAAGTTTATCATGGATGTGGATCCCGACCTCATAATTGGTTACAACATTGGTAGCTTCGATCTCCCGTATCTGCTTAACCGGGGCAAATTGCGTCGCATTGCGGGATTTGGCGAACTGGGACGGATGAAAGGTAATTACTGTGACCAGCCCGTCTGAACGAGTACTGAATCTTTGGGCCTCTTGTTATTGAATCGGCAGGTATCTCAGTGAAGATTGACGATATTCAAGGGCAGAGAGATGGGAGAAATACACCTCGGATACAAGGTCGTATTTTTCTTGATATGCTTTATTTCGTTCGGAAGGAACACCCCGAGTTAAAGGGTCCAGGGGCCACCACACTTGGCGCCATCTCGAATCACTTTCTTGGGTATACAAAAGAAGATGTTTCCATCCACATGATGAGTCGACTTCAAGACGGAGATGAAAACTCTCGTCGGGACTTGGCGATCTACTGCTTGAAGGTGACTAATTCATGAGAGTCACTGTATAGCCTCAGTTTACCTACCTGTTCTTTAGGATGCATACCTTCCTCAGCAGCTTATGGATAGACTTGACGGCTTGAAGCGATGGATTGAGATTTCTCGTGAGCTCTGGGTTCGGTTCAATGACCTGCTGTATTTGGACGACCCGACAAAGAAGTCCCTAAAGGAGCGCAACATGGAAGGCATCTATCCGGATAACTAGTTTTACATTTACATTAAAATATATTATTGTATCTACGGACTTGTATTACTGTACTTGAAAGATTATAATTTCGGTGTTTCCTTCCTTCCCACCTTGCGATTGACTTCAATGGGCAACGTAAGAGCCATCTGCGTTGCTACGGCCAGACAAACCTGGTTGTCTCTCCACCCTTCTTCCGGCTCACCCTCTCCCATATTGCTCGGTGCAGTCCATACCTCGACGTAAATATCATGTCTCCCTTGTGGATGATTGACAAATCGTCCAGTTGAATAAAGCCCAACGGTTCGACCGGCGTGCAATTTTGACGTTGGGGGTATCGGGTGTTTAAATTCAACAGCAAGAGTCATAGTTGGGTACCAGCTGCGAAATAAGATGTTGGAATCCTAGCATAAACGACCAATGATTGATGAAAATGTTTACCTCGGGGTCAGGTCGATCCGTTCACTTTTTGGCAGCAAATTAGGGGTATTGATAAAGATATCCGCAAGAAAAATAAGTGCGGGATTGGTTATCCTTTCGCCTTGATCTACAAATTCAAGCCAGCCACCCCATTCTAAGCCACCTCCGCCGATTGAAGAGCCACTTGTTCGACTCGTGCTATTTGGTTTGTTTCTAGCCAAGATTTCCTGGTCCTCCATCAAGGAGACGTGCTTCCCAAAGTTCCAAGGACGACGCAAGGGCGTAGCAATAGCCTCTGATGGATGCGAATATAACGGGTGACGTCGAGCGTACGAAGACGGAGGATTTATTGTTAAATCTAGCTTATCCGTTGGCGAGCGTTTGTTGATCCCAAATATCAAGTGTGTAGTGACCTTGACAACATTCTATATTCTGATCAGCTTTCAGGTATATGTCGGATTCGCAATCACAGACCTCTTGCACCAACTCTGCCGTCAGATTAGTAAATCCCTTTCCAATTTTCAAGGTGGACACATGGATTTTGAAAGAGCCGACGGATGTCGCTCTTAAAAAGTGTGCGGTGACATGCAGAGGGTCCACATGAGCTCTAGATGACTGGTATTGTAGACATGCTTCCAATATAAGTGCAAGCACGTATCCTGACGTTATTACGCGTCAATGAAGGACAAAAAACGCGTGAAATAGCCCACCGCCATTTGGGACACTGAGAACAAAATGTCATAAAAACGACATTTTTCCCTGGCTTCAGCCATTCGTTGGGACTTACCTGCCAACAGTCCACACGGGATCAATATCACCAGTATATGTCAATCCATGTGCTGTATTCGCTGATGCAATGATAGCCTCGGAAGGAATTGCCAGAACTTTGACAGCTTGTCCCAGTGGCGCCATTACTTAGTCACGAAAAAATGGGCGCTCCCAACGAGACTTCAGGCTAATTACGACTACCAGTGGCCGAGTTGTTGTTAAGCAGGGGTAGCCGTCTTGGAGGGGGGCAAGGACAGACTTGAAAGTTGGGTCGCGGGCTGATCGGGTACTGTTGTGACACTGTGATGTTGACCTTTCCTCCTCGCGAATTTACACATGAACCACACAACTCTCTTTTGAGAAACGATAGGCTCGTGACCATCCACTTTCGTAACTCGTTAACTCGTGAGCGAAAGCGGCTGGAATAACTGGTCAGTCACAAAGGCGGTCACAGAATTTACACAGTAGCGTGACGCGGGACTTAGTCAAATTTCTTTCAAAATGATGGTGTTCAGCTAAAGGCATTGAGTTTCCTCCGTATGTACTTGGGAACACTTGTCTGATTCGTATCTACACAAAGGGAATACAGAATTTGACCTGTCGACGTGTCAAAAGGCTTAAAATTCAGCGTCTGAACTTGAGCTGCAGCCTGCTCGGAATTGTGCCCAGACGCGCTGCCATCATCGTCGAGATGCAGGTCAGCTTCGAGCCAGCTGGGTACACACATGCAACCCTCGCGCATTCAGACCTTTAGAGATCATCAATTAGGCTTTGGGTTCACATTCATAAGCAAGAGTCTTGACTTAGACGTGTCATATTGCACAGAACTGTTCAGAACGGGGAGGACTGAGCAGTAACTTAGATTATGCATAGAAGTTGAATAGAAATGATCTTAATTGACACTGATAGAGGTTTCGAGAAATCATAGTGAAATCAACGAAATTTGACTAAGTCCGTCGACACACTTGCAGGCATGTCACGCCTCCGCCCAAAAGGGTCACGAAGTATTCCAGTCTGTTCGCAAGCTCGCCATTTTTCTCTTTTTGTCTATATATTATGTAAGGTATAGTCTTACATAATCTATCATCGTAATAAACATTGCGTAGAGCTTGCAAACAGACTGGTCGCGAGTCTAGAGAAACGATACAGTCGTGGACAAACAAAGCCCACTAATAAAAATGGAAATTATTGATGGCTACCAAAGTGCCCGGAAAACGTGCAGATACGTTGAGGGAAGCTTCTGGCCAAATTTCAGCCAAGTCTCACGAGCCATTTTGGAGAAAATGGCCATATACAAAAATAGACCCTAAATTTTTGGCCGGACACCAAAATGTGCCAAGAAAAATATGAAAAATAGCGGAATCGCTTCCTTTCACGGAGAACAATCTGCCCATCAAGTTTCGAAACAATTTATCGAGCGGTTCTTCTGGAAAAAATTGCCAAACATTGACCCAAATTGGGCACTTAGTCACTTTTTGATGTGACATCTATCACGGGACTAAGAAATTCCATCACATTAAGTTAGGCTTTCGAAATGCAGGGAAATCCCTTTCTGATAGATTCTTTGCCCTTTCTGAGTAGCTTCCAGCTGAAGCCCAGCACAGGTACCAACTTTCGATAATTTCTGGCCGGTTTTGACCTGTTTTTCTCCCCAAATGTTGCAGTTTTTTGGTCCAAAATTTTGGCCACACCAATTCCTTGTGGGAAAAACATCGGAGGTGCGTTTTTCGATGCATTTCGCAAATCTGAGCCAGAATCTGGAAAAATCTCAGCTCTAGATACATTATTTACCAAGATACCAAATTAGTGGGCTTTGCTTGTCCACGACTGTTAGTGATGTGCCAGGCCCGGCCCAAAGCCGTAAGCCAGCCAGGGCCAGCTGTCCCAAAGCTGGGCCTTCTTGGGCCGTCATCAAGGCCCAGCAAAGCCCAAAGCTCAGGCTCATGACGCATGAAGCCTTGAGCCGTGGCCTGAGCCATGGCCTCAAAGATTGGTGGGACTCCTCTCCAAAGCAAGGTCGTACCTCACTTTGGAGAGGTACAGTAATCTTGCATGCTCATAATCGTTGCCAGCACCACCCTGGCCAAAGTTTTCTTGATTAGAAATGGTGTAAGTACTGGTTAAGACTGATAAATATTGGAATAGAAGAGAAATGTTCGACATCTTCTCCGAAAGTCTGCAAAGTAGTGAGGTGAGTGATGAGTCCAAGCAAGCATGAGATGCTTAGATACCTCATACAATGTTTCCGGATCGTTGCCTCAACCTTGACGTTCCCAATCGTCCCAATGCGATGAGCAGCAGAGATAGGGGGTGCAGCGTTTGACACAGAGGCATATTTGTAGAGATTTTGTTGTTGGTTCAAGACTAATTGACTGTTTGTACGTGTTTTTTTGACTTTCGCCCATGAGCTGTGGCTTGAGCCTGGGCCGGGCTTGAGCCAGCCTGAAGCCTTGCAAAAAGCTCAGGCTTGAGTATGGTCAAGCCTGAGCCGCCTAAAGCCAGGCCATAGCCATGGCTTTCAGGCCAAGCCAGGCCTGCACATCACTAACGACTGTACAATAACTTATAATTCCTGAAACAACATGGCCCCTTGTAGGGCGACCCCTCTGCTCTCCTTCGAGAACTTGGAATTGGACTCATCAATCTCTAATGCCTCCCTAAAAGACTCATAACGATTCGGACGCATCTGTGAAACGCTGGTACGACTATATACCTCTTCTCGGTCGGTTGATGTGCCACACTTCCACCTAATCTCATCGCTGACGCCCATCCAGGAACTGTTTGCTTGATACTGGCGCCTCATCCTTCCTTACTATATGTACTCGTGGATTTTCACCTGCAGACACTTCACCAACTGGTGGTCTTCATCATGCACCTGCTTGCAACCTACTCTCTGACCTCTTTGGCTTTCTCATCGCTTATCGTCTGTGTTGCCTGTGACCCTGGTCCTGCAAACCTCATTCCCTCCCAACAAGGCGCGAACACTGACGCTGACGACGAGATCAGTCTTACGGATGCTTTGATGCCAAACGAAGATTACACGGCTCCAGGAAGATGGTGTCGTAAATGCTGGGTAACATATTGCTCATCCATGTCTTTGAACATGCAGTTTATGGATGAGCTTCACATAGGCGCCGAAGCCTGAAAGAACACACCATTGCTCGATATGTGGCCGTTGCGTGCTTAAAATGGGTAGAGTTTATCTTGAACCTTTTTCGAACTTCTATCTGATAGCTGCAAAGATCACCATTGTCCTTGGCTTGGTTCCACATGTATCGTATGTTGTCTCCCTCTGTGTTCGTAATCACCTATTCATCATCCCATAGGGTCATAGAACCTATCCTGCCTTTGTACACTTTCTTTGTTCTGTCACTCTCCTTGCTACGTATATTGCTATAATCTCTATTTCTGCACTCTTGGATGCTTTTCACAACCCATTCCTCGTTGTAAGTGCGATGCAACAGGTTGATGGCAGTTTGCTAACAATGGTGTAGCATGAATTTACCCCTGTCCATGAACTCAGGCTCGCTTTTGCTGGGATTGTTTTTTCACTCGTGATTGGATCGTTCGCTTGCTACCATCTATATTTAATTTCGTACCCCCATTTATGCTGCTGCGCCATCTTCCTCCATTACCGCAGACTGGTCATTCACTCTCCAATCCACCGCTTCAGCCCAAACTAGGATACCCTCAACGGCGACTTGTTACGGATGCCCATGATAATATACGGATTTACGACGTTGGATTTCGACGGAACTAGGAACAGGTTTTTGGATGGAAAACTAGATTTGGCTGGGTGCACCGACTTTGGTATGGGGGAGCATCGTGAGTTTCTTTGTTACGCTTCTCGCATACACTCCCCAAGTGAGCGCTTTCACCGTGAGTGGAGAAGTTGCCGATTTACGTAATCCCGTCATCTCTCTCCCCTCTTTGAGACTCGCTCATGTTGTCTGACACAAGGTAACTCTTACTCATTCTCAGGCGTGCATATTTAAAGTAAATTCAGTCATACAGATATAGGGTCCACGGACACCATCGGAATCCAGGATATCGCGCTTTACCATCCTGCTAGGCTTGGGTTCATGCTGGCCTGCGATGCAACCTCATGAGGGTACCCTGCAGCCCATTCATGTCACTTCATCCCTGATGCACGACGTGAAGGAGGCAGCAAAGACGGACGACCTTGCCCACTCGATCAATTACTCTGATCTTGCCAAGGAGTTAATCAGAAATGAACCGGTGTTCGCGTCTCTTGAGGAATTATCCTTGCACACGTACGATGCATTCTCGCAAAAGAATTCTTTGCTTGATAAACACCGTGGCAAGGTATCTGAACTGGGGATATGTGTCATTCAGCTTGGGCCCCCTTTGCACTGTGCCCACGTTGGTGTTGAGTCGGCTGCGACGTTCAATGAGGATATGTGGACTATTATGTGTGTCAGGCATTTTGTGGACAAGCTGACTTGTCATGTGATCATTGGAGTCAATCCTGCGGAGAGGTTGGAGAAGCAGGACGCGGTATCGTCCATGTCTATAGATAGCAGGAAAGATGGTCTACAGAAGGAGCAGTGGATTGACTTTCGGACTATCACAAGGACTTTGTATGAGGTGCTTTCTTTTTTATCGTGCTGTGATTGACTAAATTCCTTAGGAAATTAGCACGTCGAGCCTTTTCACTATAGAGGCGCTTGCCTCCTCAGTCGCCCACAAAACTCTGTTGACCTCGTCATCTTGTGAGTCTGTCGTCTTCCAAGGATGAAAACCCCTGGGGTACACAGACCCCTTCACCGGTACAAAGCACCACCTCGCCGAACTGCCACATAAGCCATGATAATTACTTACCCATTCATCATAGAATTATCGTCCACTTGTACAACCGCCACTGTCGTTATCGTTCACCACAACCACACCACCCGTTCTTGGCCTTGTAGACGTCCGTTTTGGCGTTGACTATATGTATTGCCGTCCGCTAGACAGGGGTACATTGACTCCTTACGTGTTGTGGACTCCACCACATCGCCCTGAACCCTTCCAGCCATGAAGGCAATATATCGTCTTCCGCAGATCGCCTTCACATACTGTCCGACCACACCCTGCACCCCTCCAGGCCCCAAGACGACATATCGCCATCCGTTTAGCGGATGGACGCCACCTTCCTCCTTGCCATGGATCTCCCAAGACGTATCGCCGTCCACTCAACGCCGTCTCTACGCGCGGATCATGTATGGACATTGCATAGCATTGACCGCTGTTCAGAACCTCCAGAAGGCAAGAATAAAAAGGTTCATTGAGTATTTCAAGACCGAACACACAAAGAAGTACTCATCAAAAGGGTCTTGTTTAGAGCCATCGTCGCCTTGACTTGCATCGATGCAATGTACTTATCTATGTTTTCCGTTGACAATGTGGGCTGGAACCACTATGTGAGAGAATGTCGGAAAAGATGAAGAAGGCTTTAGATATGTTTTCTACAATTGATGAACTAGCTCACAGTTAGTATTTGGTTAGTATGTACAGTAGATTAGTTTTGAACAATGTCCATGTGTCCTTGCAAGTTCCAGATTATGTTTATGCCTCTTCAGGCTCTTCATCTTTGCAGATTGGGAGCCTTGGCCCATTCTCAAATATACTCTTCCAGGTGTGGCCGTGTCCATCGCCATTGGAACGGCGAGTGAGGATGCTGAGGAACTTTTCACGCATTCCTGGGAATTTGGAAACTGAATGTCTGAGTGAATGTGTGACGTACCAACTGTGACCTCTTTCGCCCACCCTGCATTGTCCTCCAACCCTTTCTCTTCTTCTAATGGCCTCTCAGACTGTGTGTCTTCCTACATCTTGAAGTGCTTGATTTATGCTGACCGTTGCTTTGGCATTTTCTGCCTCTCAGTTGGTGTGTCTGCCAACTTTTGAAGTGCATGATTCTTCCTGACAGTCGCTTCGGCACTTTCTACCTCTCAGTCTGTGCATTTTCCCACCTCTTGACATCTTTGTTTCATGCTGACCATTGCTTCGACACTTTCTGCCCCTCAGTCTGCGCTTTTCCCTCTTCTCGAAGTGTTCAATTTATGCTGACTCAACAGGTATAGAAACTTGCTTCTTTCCCGGGTCGTCACATTGGATTCCGAGGGAATTCAAGCTCCAAAAATGCCAACACACATGGCAAAACTACAGTGGAAAAAGGCAGCAAACACAAGAATGCACGAAATATCAAGATAGAGCCAGTTGCTTCCCACAGCGTCTTGTCAAATGAGTCTGTGCCACCTAATGAGAAAATCCCCACCCCTGTCTCACCGCTCATCCCTCCCCAAAACCCAATTCCATTTCCATTTCCCTCTGGCCAGAGTTTGGATCCCCGGAATCACACAACACCACCTGTGGTGATTCACCAGCAACACTCTCTTGCTTCCCCCAAATGTTCAGTTACAGTCCTCCTTGCCAATGTCGCTAAGCGGCACCTTCAATTGAAATTTCACGCCCTGGAGGAGATTTTCACAGACTTTGGAGTGCGAAGGGACCTATGGAGGGCCCAGGTTGGGTTTGACGAAGAGCTGCTCTGTCATGGAGGCGGCTATCTTCAGGAAGTAGTTATCACCATTCTGCAAGACCTCCACTTTAAAGATGACTATTTTTTGAAAATTGGCAAGACATTGTCACCTTTCCCAGTGGTCGTCCGAATGCCACAGTCTTTCTCCTGCACACCAGTCTTCAAGCATGATGGCACGATGTGGAAGAGCTATGACGATTTCGTCTGGAATAATATTGATAATGTGAACACCCTCGATTCATTCGAATATGAGAGTGCGAAACACATGGCAAGCTTTCAAGAGTTTGAAGAGAAGCTGGCCGATCTGGACAGTGAGCTGTCGAAGGGACAAGGGTCTTCGAAAACCGATACCAATGCGGCCACCACGTCTAACAGCGACTCTGCTCATGCCACTGGTAGTGGAAATGTTAGCAAAAAGGCACAGGGTAAAATGCTGGAGTGTATATAGTGGGAAAAATCCAGCGATGGTTCTGACGACGCCCACAATCCTGACCCTCATGCAGGGACTAGTCCACGTTCTAGGCCTCGAATCCACTTTGAAGTTATCACCCACATCATGGGCATCACTGACACTATGGGCCAACCTGTATCTCAGAGTATAACACTTTCAGGGGCTTTCACATTCAAGGTGTGTTCTTTCTTTTTTCTCAATAATTTCAATGTCGCCGATATCAGTGTCCTTTTTTGACGTCTTAGGCGGAGCAAAAATCAAAAATCAACCCTTGCTCTGCATCAAATGTCAAGTTCTTGCATCTTGGTCTTCCAGGACCAGAACATGAAGCTGATCCTTGCTATAACCTTTGATATGTGAAGATTTGTGTTAATAGCCATGATCTTTCTGCCTTTTCAATTATCCGACAACCTTTTGACACACAACCGGATGCAGATGAAGTCAAGGAAGGGAAAAACGACAAGTACATTGCCCAGACTTCAAAGTCTGCTGCTCTCCAAGCTTCCATCAAAAATCCATTTGGATTGACTGCCTCTGTGGGTTGCAACAATGGCACTGAGGTGGGGACAACCTCTGAACATACAAGATACCAGCGACAGATAGCTGTATGGAATCAAGCAAACAGGGCCAAGTGGACATATTCGAGGGAGGGATTCCTCAGGGGATTTTACCTAAAAAACAACAGCCCCGAATTGCCCATTGTTGACTTCCTCCATCCAGATCAAGCCGAAGGAATGCCATCAGAGGGGATGACTGTGAAGCTTTCTTCCCTATGGAAGGTAAAGAATCAGGGAGTACCAGTTGACAAGAAAACATCAAAATTTTCTTTCTCATCTTTATCAAGAAAGAAGGTGAAGCTGGAAGAGCCTGCTCCAATCTACACAAACCTCGTTCCGATCGTGGTGATTGACTTTGCACCAGAGACTCTGAGAAACTGGACCATCAAACAGAGGATCCTCGTGCTTCCGGCTGGGGCTGATGCTGCACAAGAAGAACAGCCTGGAGAGGATAAGGTTGGAGTTCATATTATACCATCGACCCGTCAAATTTCGGAGGAGAGGAGGGCTTGGGGATTGTTCCAGGAGTAGCTGAAAGGTCATCTTTGTGGTTCAGCTTTCCCTTTGTATGGCACTGTATTTTCTGCCCTCGAGTACAGGCCTTGTAACATGTAGATTTTTCTTGAAAGTACAGCCTGAGGATAGTCATCCTTTACATTTTATTTACATGACACACGAATTCCATTGCACAATTTTATTTTACTTCCTCTCCTTTCAGCTGAAGCACACAAAACACCACATCCTAACCACAGCCATCTCCCCTGTATCATGCACCTTCACAACCAATGCCCCCTGGAACGTCACACACCACCCCCGCAGCTGTAGCCCACACCCTCCGTTGGTACAGTCTCCCGTCCTCCAGGTTCTTGTGCCAATACACCGCCAATATACGACTTTCTTGACTTCCCAATGAGGAACGGGTACCCAGCAAGTGGGTTTCAATATTTTTTATCACCATCCCCTTCGCATCCCTCAAAACCTCCAAATTTCTTTCCACAGACCCAACTCCAGGGCCCGCAACAATCAGCCACCTTCTCACCCCTCCCCATACCTCACAACCGCATCCACCCTCTGCCCCAACTCAACCCCCACACCCTCAATGACCGCCCCCCTCGGCCCAGCGTACCCATACATCACCTTGTACCCTTTATTCTGCCCCACCTCCCCCCGGGAATGCATAAGCACACATGGGGTCGCATATTCCCTCGCAATGCGCTTCCACTTCCAAAAAATAGTCGGGCTCAGTGAATGCATAAACATTGTTAATGCAGTTCACCCCACCCTAACAGCCGCCTCTGCCACCTCCCACCTAGACGTGTCCACACTGATCAGTATACGCCTCAGCCTCTGTCTTTAGCCCTCCCACCCTCCTCGTCCATGCTCGCAGCTAGCTGTATAGCTTGCACAATCGGCACAACACGATCAATCTCCTCTTGCACACACACGAACGCCGCCCTAGGGCGCATGAAATACCCACCTATATCAATGATAGCCACTCCAGCTGAAACGGACTCGCGCGCATAGGACAGGGCAGTGGGTAAGGTGTTGTGCATTGATCCATTGGAGAAGGAGTCTGGGGTCACATTCAGTGTGCTCTTCAGGTAGGTTTTGGGTAGTGTTTGCTGTGGGAGCTGTCGGTATGGGCGAACAGGAGGGTGGTGGAGGGTGGCCGGGTAAGTACAGTATATGAGTGTTTCTGGGATGGGCGGAATGCATTTGTAGGGCGACATGGTGCCGGCAGAGAGCGGCAAGCGAGGGAAGGGGATGATTTTGTGCATCTGTGGTTTGTTGGGCGGGACTTTCAAGCAAGGCACAACCAGCATTCGGTACATGTCCCAAAGGAAGAGCGCCAGGATGATGCGGAGACACCAGGAGGTGAAGAGTTTGAAGAGAAGGTCGAGGGCTCTGGTAGTGTAACTTGCATCAATGTTGCAGCATCTAAGAGAAGAAATATGGAACAGACTTGTCATGGGACCTCCTGCTGAGGGAAACATTGGAAGGGAGGTGTCTTGACTAGTCAAAGTTGGGATTATAGTGGCTTTTATCCACACTGTCTACCAGCAATACAGAAGTCGCATCAGGGTTCTTCGCGACGGCAGGGAAACGATAGGGCCGCTCGGCTGGGAGAGGAACTTGCACAAAACGAAAGACGGCAGTGTTGCTGTGCTCAAAAAAAACCCTCCTTCTGCGAGCGGTATTAAAGGTAAAGAAACGAGCTATCCTTCTGATGGGAGAGAGAAGCGCACGTTGAGGTTCCAGGTGGGTATGCACAATTCATCTGTCGTCCCACTTTCACTTTCGAAAACCTTGCCGACCACTGGCGAGCTATTCATATTGACGCCGTTAGTGGTGTTGCCGCATGATGTAATGGTCTTAGGATGCATGCGCAGTCAAGGGGGAAGCAAACGTGGCATTTGTGGAAGCTAGTGAGCAGTCGGTGCCAAATATTGTGATACAGTGGATGACACAGGTAGCTTTCATGCGAGTGGTCCTACCCTCTGAGTCCTAGTACTCACTGGCGTTGCTCACAGCCAGATAAGTACAATTATTTCACTCGATTTAAGGGACTGAATGTTAAATTCGATAAATTGCGCCCATCAGCGGATTCCGTTTTCCATGAGAAATCTTCTTCTTCTAGCTCACCTACCCTGACTTCCATCCCTTGCCTCTCTTGCCTCCATCGCTCAACCCCCTCTTTGCTGCGGCCAACCCCCTCCAGGTGACGCGCTCAACGCTATGCCACATGGAGCTCGGCTCCCATCACGTCCTCGCCTTCAAGAGGCCATTTCGTTTGTGCGCTTGAGCATGCGAACTGCAAACAAAAACACACGTTGGAATGGGAACAGCTCAGTACAACATACATCCAGCAGTGGGGATTAGCTGGAACATGAGAGAAGGCCCGTGAAGCGGGGGATCTACAAGGTACGTCTTGAAATTCAATGATACAATGCATACGCTGATACCAATATTATATCCTTTCAATGATTTAGATTGACTGCACGGCGCACGCACGCGTGCACGATACTTTATCACCACCAGGGCGACCATTACCGACTCTCACACTCCTCATCCGTCCCTCCCCACATCCCTCCCATCAACAGTCGCCATTCAAGTTCATCACGATGTCGCCTCTCAGTGACATTGTCCCAACTCAGCCATGCCACAACCAACACCCTGATGTGGTATTTGGAGCCCATCCGAACCCACAGACCCAGTCCGTCCCAACACAGGCAAGTCTCTCACAAGCAACCAGTTTGCTACACCCATCTCCAGCTGTCCCCTTCCATCGTCGCAACTGGCACCCACATTGCCGCCCCTTCAAAAACCAACACCCAAAACTACCTCACCATCCCACCACGCGCCATTCCCGCCTCGCACTCCAACCTCTCCGCGTGGTCCTCCTCCTTCTGCATGAGTCCTGCACTCTCACATGTATGTTGTGGCGTGCTCACATCAATCTTGGGAAATGGAAGGCTGGGTTTAGTTTTGAAGTTCTCTTTTCCCCCCCCAGTATACTACCTGTCATGTAAATATTATTATCTGCAATATCATGTGCATTTCATGAATTCAAGGCAGCACCAGGGCAGCACAAACATACGGCCAATGTGATATAGCAGAGGGTTAGGTCCCTGAGCCGAAAAACCCTTAAATCGGGTGCAGGGATAGGCCAGCTCATGGAAATGCATCTTAAATTGAGCTGGTTGGCATCACAGGTCCTTAAATCCACTAAATTGAACTTGATTTAACCTAAATCCATTGCACATAAGCACTTATGGTGACTTATGTGTGCTTATCTGACTTATTTTCAGTCCCTTGCAGCAAACCACCATCCACATTTCCCCCTCAAGAGCGAAAAAAGTGATAAACATGTAGCAGCAGGTGCATCAGAGACACTCTGCCAATTTTGTATTTTTATAAAAAGATTGACGGCGCCCAGGCCCTAATCAAGGATGCGCCGCGAGATCCATTCGGGACGAGGCTGCTTGTTTGCTCGGGGGAAGGCCATGACTAGGGAAAAAATTGTATTTTTACATACAGTAAATACATAATGGTCAAGCAGAAGCGAAATTTCAGGAGGGGACGAAGTGGCGGGGGAGGAGGAACGGAGGGAGAAAGACGCGACGTGCCAGGTCACATGGTCACGTGCACCTTCCCCTTTCGGTTGCGATCCGGGAGATCCCGTTAAATTGGCCCACATAAGTAACGGAAAACGGCCGGGTGCCTCAGGCAGACTGTAGAGGGGTGGTGTATTGTTTGTATTGTACAAATAAATATTTGTTCGTAATTTGAGCAAGGGGGTTCAAGAATTTTAAAAAAGTAGCCAGGGTCAAATTTTTTTGTAAGGCCCTGTGTGCTTGACCTACCTACCTATGTAATCAGGCACATGCCTATATATGGCAATATGACATCATCATCATCATCACTCTGATCCTCTAAGGCTTCGCATACCCAACATCAGGAAAAGGTGATTTCTCCCATAGTTACCGCATCAAAATCATAGCCAAATATAGTTCCCATCGCCGGTGTTGTGTTCCGTATCCTTGGCGGGTAGATCTAGAGCACGTGATTGAGTCCATTGTGAAAGGGGCGAGGTACATGGTGATAGATAGATTTGCAGATCAGCTCTCAAGCTCGGTGCATCCTATGAAGAATTGTCAGAACACTATGAGTGCTACCATGACTATCAAGTCAGCATCGAGTGGGATGTGAAATAATGCTGGTACTTGCATCTTATCTCACCCCTACACTCTCACTCATGCTTGCAAACACATGACTGTCCCTCTCCTCATTCAATAACTGAAAGCACCAGTTTTCATGTTCAACATGCAGAATATCTACGCATGCGTACAACACGCAAGTGGACTTTGATGAAATCATGCAGTGAAGTGCCGTCGGAGCTAAACTCCGAATCGGATGGTGACCCGATGTCACATATTGGTTGAAATACTTGTTTTAGCAATAATCTAGTGTCTCCTTTTTCTTCTGATGACCACCTTTGTTCTCTCCTTAACACTGCGCCTCCCCTGCCTTAACACTGCGCCTCCCCTGCCTTATCCCTTCATCGCTCTTTGCCTGACGTGCCCTCTACGAACTGCTCGAGTAACATGCTGAGTAGCATGTGTTCTTGGTTAGGAGGTATGTCCCCGCTCACATTCCATTCTCTAAAATGACGATTGATTCCACTGTCCTCTGGCATACCTCTGCATTAGTATGTCAACCTTTTCTTGATGTGACAAGTTGCTTATCTTCCAAATAGGTTACCTAATCAGACGTTGTCCTCAGCTATTTCATTGACGCCTTCTATCATCAGTCGTGTCGCCCACCATTGCTATTGTTTTTCTCTCACCCACACCTTCCGTCATCAGCCGCCAAACATGTGTTGCCCGCCCTCACTATTGTTTCTAGCCATTTGTTACCAGCCGCCACCAAACACGCATCGCCCACCATCCAAACGTGGGATCTGGAACTGCGAGGCATGCATTCGAAGGAGCAGGGCAAGGTCAAAGTGGCTGGGGAGGAGGATATGGTAGACAACGAATGAGGTAGTACACACATGTATCGCAGCTAGAATTTGAATATAAATCATTTGCTGCATTCTTGACCGATTCAGAAGGACTAATATCTCCTCTACCTCCTCTATCCTGTATATATTTGCTACAATGTACTATGAAACTACCTGGTTACATGGCTATGGCTTAATCTATAGAACTATTGTGTGCTATGGATTTTAAACGGTCAGCTATGGAGAACAATATATGGGGGGGCTCTCGATGGTGCTACCAGCGCTATCACATCAACATACCACAATATCGCAAGTAACGTTTTTCCTGATGAATTTCGTGGGGCTATCTGCAATGCAACACATTGTAGGTGGTACTAAAAAATAAGTGAGTGTAGTGATTAACTTGTGCAAGACTGATACTCACCCATTGAGTCTCACATCCAACCCTTTTACATTTTACCAAGCCATTGCATTCTGAGTGCAATACCACACCACACAGGCATCCATCTGATGTGTCGAAAGCATCAAGATGATTTGGGTTTTGAAATCAGGTCACACAGCATACACATCGGTGTCAAGAACTGGTCTCTAATTGTTTTGTCAGTAAATTGTGATTGATTACAGCTGATTCCGAAAAGGTTGTCACTACGCAATTTTTTTGCAACGCATCAGCAATATAATATATGAGTGATATATTAGCTGAGTAATCAGGTCCATGCCTAAATCGGTGATCACGATCGAAATGAGAGGGATAGGGTAGGATAGGGTGCGATTAACTGGCTATTTGACTGGCTCATCCATATGGACAACTATGTTGCAACTATGTAACTACCAAAAATATTTATTGGAAGAGTTTTGAACTTTTTTATTATTGAAATGTAGGCTAAACGAGAACGCAAGGGTAAGAACATGGAGTTAGCTGGCTTGACCCAGCGCCGCCCCACGCTGTCGACGAAAAGAAAAGCCGGCTCTCTCTCGAGATTCTCGCAATAGCCTCCAGAAAAGCCTCCCACTTCATCTCAAAGCCTCCCACTCCATCCCAACATCAGTCGTCCTAGGGCTGAGACCATGGGGGTCCACTTTGGCCAGACTTCTTAGCGCGACCAGTGCACGGTAGGCTTTCGGGTCGGGTTTAATGGCAAAAAAAAAACATAATCTCGTGCTGGGCAGGCGAGGTTTCGGTGGTGTTGTCCTCGACTGGAGCAAGAGGATTAGAAGGGAGAGGAGGGTGAGGAGTTGATGTACGCGTCGTTGGCGCCGCAATGCAATGTGGTGCTGTAGTTCGAGCCCGCTTTGGTTGAGGTGTTGGTGGGTTGGTGCTGTTTGGATGGATATACGTTCCCGAGAGAGAAGAACGATGGGTATCTGAGTGTGTGCGTGTGTCCGAACGACGGCTGTGTCATTAGTAGCGGTGCTTCGGACAATGGGCATCTGACAACGGACAGGGTTGAAGGAACGGTCTTTTTCAAAAGTAGTGGGCTGCAATTGGGTGGTTTGGGAATCTTTGAGCGCTATAACAGCTGGGGAGAAGAATGTGATGCACCAAAAACTTGGACTTCCAGATCACTTAGGCTCCACAAACTCCATGTTGTCACCTTGAGTTGGTGGAAAAGAAAAAGCGGTGGTGGTGAAGCATGGCAGGAGAAGGATTCCGGGAGAAGGAAACATAGGATAAAATGGTCGAGGAAAGGAGACGGATAACGGACAGTAATGCAGCTATAAACCAACTATAAACACCCGAGATACTTACAGATCGGGCTAACCCTGGCATGGACCTGATTACTCAGCTAATATATCACTCATATATTATATTGCTGATGCGTTGCAAAAAAATTGCGTAGTGACCAGGCTCCTAAAAGCAGCCGCTCGTCTCGCGATGCTATCGTACTCAGGAGGAGAACTAAATATGTGATGGTTATATAATCTGATGGGGAAGACCAAATAAACAAACCTAAGAACGAAAGCTCGCGAGAGAGCGGCTGCCGGAAAATGTACTCGGTGAGCTCGGACATCATTGATTAACCCTATTGTTGGGTCCCAAATCCAAGCTATGTAATCAAAGAACCAGACACGTCACATTTCGGTCACGAACACTGTCGATGGTTGGCAGTAGGTGCGTAAGTTGTGCGTAAGGTCTACATCGAGGTTGTCGGAGGCATACAATGTGAGGAGGATTCTCCCAAGCTTGCGAATGTTGAAGCTGGACTACTGAGAAAGGTAGGAGACGGCGTTACTGATAGTTGACGGTGATATTAATACCCCCAGGTGTGCGAGGAGCTCTAGAACCGCGTCTGGTGTGTTACACGCGTGAAGGAAAAATCTTGGAGTCCTCTTCGGAAGGCATTCGAGATACATTTCACTTTGTTGAGGTGTGGTAGATTAGCCATAGGGTATTAGGTCTCTTTTTGTAACAACTTTATTGGCTATACATATATAATTTTGAACTTGACATGACATCAGTACACATTGACAAGTATGTAATTCTGCATTCCGTAGCCTCTCCTCCACTGCCAGATGTTCTTGAGAACCTTTGAGCCAAACCGGCCCATTGGAGGATCTGTCACGAAGGCCCAGAAAGGCCTTCGGTTTGGGACCCAACAATAGGGTTAATCAATGATGTCCGAGCTCACCGAGTACATTTTCCGGCAGCCGCTCTCTCGCGAGCTTTCGTTCTTAGGTTTGTTTATTTGGTCTTCCCCATCAGATTATATAACCATCACATATTTAGTTCTCCTCCTGAGTACGATAGCATCGCGAGACGAGCGGCTGCTTTTAGGAGCCTGCGTAGTGACAACCTTTTCGGAATCAGCTGTAAAACATTAGACAAAAATTTGATGAAGATTAGACCGTGAAAAATAATTTTGAAGCCAGAAATTGGGCCAGATATAATGAAATATAATATCCAGTCAAGATAATGTACTATACAATGATATTTTACATGCAGGAATACTGTAAATCACCTTGGAAAACCAATTTAGGACTATCTCATAGAGGGTTCCAAAAATCTTTTTTTTGGCCTATGGCCGACCTACCTACCCAACCCCTGGTCCGGCATTCAGATCCCTGAACCCCCTTGAATTTGAGCATGGCAGTAATGGCAGTCGCCGGACTGATAGCCACAGCAGTAGATGGTATGACCGTAATAGACTGGAATGGCAATAATGGCAGTAAATGGCATGTCATGGTTGGACTGGAAGTGATGGCAGAGGAGGCCAAGATTTGGTGGCAGGGCAAGGAGTAATGGTATGGTATCGATAAGTCGGTATGGTAATGACGGCGAGAGTGGCGATGATGGCAGGAGTGGCAGCGAATGGCGAAGTTACACGGCAGCGCTGAAGGCGGACGTGATGTGGCGCGCCGGTGTGTTAATATAATGGTGAACCAATGGGCAACGGCGTGCGCATGAGAGCAATTCGCCACTGTTCATCTCCACTGAAATACAGTAGACTTGTAATCTTCAGATGCGCGGGGTTCTCGACAGGGTGCCGGTTGTCGGTATCGTGAGTACAGCAGAAAGTTTCCAGTGCTGTTGGCATAGATAGGTCTTTGTTCCAACTTCCGGTACTACCATTGGACTTGGTAGGTCCAAAGCAGTGACAGCCGAAGGGAAGCTCCTGAAGTAGATGGGAGGTGCGAAAACAAAGTATCACGTGCCACACCACCTGTTCACTTATTCTGCCAATATTCTGCACCAGTTCTACACTACACTCGTGCCTCGTTTCATGAGCGAACTACAAACTCTCTTTTGAGAAACGATACAAGAAATTATAATTCTTGACACGACATGGCGCCCCGTAGGGCGTCCCCTCTGCTATCGTTCGAGAACTTGGAATTGGACTCATCGATCTCTAATGCCACCCTAAAAGACTCATATGACGAGTCGGACGCGCCTGTCAAACGCTGGTACGACTATATACCTCTTTTCGGTCGGTTTAAGTGCCACACTTCCACTTAATCTCATCGCTAACGCCCATCCAGGAACTGTTTGCTTGATACTCGCACCTCATCCTTCCTTACTATATGTACTCGTGGATTTTCACCTGCAGACACTTCACCAACCGGTGGTCTTCATCCTGCACCTGCTTGCAACCTATTCTCTGACCTTTTTGGCTTTCTCATCGCTCATCGTCTGTGTTGCCCGTGACCCTGGTCCTGCAAACCTCATTCCCTCTCAAGGCGCGAACGCTGACGCTGACGACGAGATCAGTCTTACGGATGCTTTGATGCCAAACGAAGATTACACGGCTCCAGGAAGATGGTGTCATAAATGCTGGGTAACGTATCGCTCATTCATGACTTCCAACATCCAGTTTACGGATGAGCTTCACGCAGGCGCCGAAGCCTGAAAGAACGCACCATTGCTCGATATGTGGCCGTTGCGTGCTTAAAATGGGTAGAGTTAATTCAGAATCTTTTTCGAACTTCTATCTGATAGCTGCAAAGATCACCATTGTCCTTGGCTTGGTTCCACATGTATCGTGCGCTGTCTCCCTCTGTTTTTGTAAACACCTATTAATTATCCCATAGGGTCATAGAACCTATCCTGCCTTTGTACACTTTCTTTGTTCTGTCACTCTCCTTGCTACGTATATTGCTATAATATCTATTTCTGCGCTCTTGTATGCTTTTCACAACCCATTCCTCGTTGTAAGTGCGACGCAACAGGTTGATGGCAGTTTGCTAACGATGATGTAGCATGAATTTACCCCCGTCCATGAACTCGGGCTCGCTTTTGCTGGGATTGTCTTTTCACTCGTCATTGGATCGTTTGCTTGCTACCATCTATATTTAATTTCGTACGTCCCAGTTCAAAGTCAAATCTTGAACTTCTGACGGCATCTTCATTTAGGACGAATCAAACTACTCTGGAAAATATAACCCCATTTATGCTGCTGCGCCATCTTCCTCCATTACCGCGGAGTGGCCATTCACTCTCCGATCCACCGCTTGAGCCCGAACTAGGATACCCTCAACGGCGACTTGTCAAGGATGCCCATGAAAAAATACGGATTTACGACGTTGGATTTCGACGGAACTGGGAACACGTTTTTGGATGGAAAACTAGATTTGGCTGGGCGCACCGACTTTGGTATGGGGGGGCATCGTGAGTTTCTTTGTTACGCTTATCGCGAACACTCCCCATGATCTGCATGCAGGCAAGGCGACGGTAGAAACTTTCCGCGCAATCAACGAACGGACGATATGCTTGCGCGACTTGCAATTGAACTCGTCAAGGTGGACAGAAACTCGTAAATAATTATTTATGCTACCGCTTAATTAATTAATTTGTAACTCCGAAGGTGATATCATTACGGACAGGGGCTTAAAGGATCTCATTTAAACAACTCCTACACCTCTCTCCTTTTTTCCAGCATCTATCATGCCTGCCGAGATAATTGAGCTTCGCTCTCTGTCCAATGGCACCCTTCCTCTTTTTGACATTTCAAAGCAAATTCTCGACGGGTTATCCTGTTCAGTCGGCGAGAAATACCTCCCCACAATGCTTCTCTACGACGAACGGGGTTTGAGACTCTACGATGACATTACCACTGAAGCACCGGAATATTATCTTTTTGGGGCCGAGGAGGAGATACTCAAGAACCACGCAGACGCAATTGTGCGGGCGATGCACCCACATCCCGACGTCCCCACCGATGAGACCGTTTTGGAATTGGGCGCTGGGTGCTGTGTCTTTTTAAGTTGCCGACCAATTATCTAACATATTCCTTAAAAGGGCATTGAGGAAGACGTCCCACATTCTATTAGGCCTCTCGCGGTTAGTAAGAAACAGGTCCTCCTCACCCATCACGTACTACGCTCTTGACCTCGAACAACGGGAGCTTGAACGTACTTTGGGAGGGATTGAAGCTTCTGACATTGGTCGGAATCTGCTAGGCAAGGTACAAACCAAGGGAATGTGTGGAACATATGACGAAGGCCTCAAGTTTGTTGAGGAGGGGGGCCTGGTCGGCCGAAATATAGAGCGCCTCTCCAGATACCAGTTTCACATGCAAGACGGATCTTCGATCTCTTCTGGATCCTCTGAGAGCGATGCAACAACATCCTCTGATTCGTCTCCTCCATCAACTCCTGATAATCAGTCGCCACCCTTGCATATTATGTTTTTAGGGTCTTCCTTGGGCAACTTCTCCAAACCAGAGGCTGCTTCTTTTCTTCGCTCGTTACCATTGCGCTCGGGATCGGGAGACACACTGCTCCTCGGGTTGGACCACGATAATGAAAAGGGTCGCATCGAGGAGGCTTACAATGACCCTATGGGGTATACTAGACGGTTCATTATGAATGGCTTGAAAGCAGCCGGACGGGCCATGGGCGACGAAACCATGTTTTCTGAGGACAAGTGGGAGTATGTTAACCGTTACAACGCTGTGGGTGCAGTGATCAATAATACGAAAAATGCTGACATTCAATCCCCCTTCCAGGTTGAACGTACTTACATTTTCTTTTCTTTTCTTTTTGCGGAGCCCTGATCCATTCGCTCTCTGCTAGGTCAACATGAGGCATTCTACAAATCGAGATCTGAACAAACAATCACCGATCCGACCACTAAGAAAACAATCAAGATCCTTCAGGACGAGTTGCTGAAGATTGAGCAGTCTGAAAAGGTTCGGTGTGCCTCTTTTGAAGCAAACTAATTAATCCTCACTTTTCTTCCACTAGTTTTCTGAGTCCGACAGTTTTACCCTGTTCGCAGAGGCGTTCTTACGCCCTATCCAACGATGGACAGATAGTAAATCTCAGTATTCTTTGTGGTTGCTGGAGCGTCCTTCATTCAGCTTCCCTCTGCTCAAGTCTCTCTCTACCGATAAAGCGACGGACATAGGCGAAAGCTATCACCGCGCTTCCACACGATTTGGTGCGCCGTCTCGTCAAAACTGGGAAAACGTATGGGCGGCTTGGGACTGTATCACTAGGAGCATGATCCCACCTTCGATGATATACCAGAAACCGATTGATTTAAGGCATATATGCCTTTTCTATCTTGGCCATATACCCACTTTTTTAGATATCTATTTGTCGCGATTAATGCAAGAGCCCCACACTGAGCCGATCGAATTCAAGGTATGGTGTTAGCTATAATTTGAAATGCGCGTACTGACTTGATCGACAGTATATCTTTGAGGTCAGTCTCTTAAATGAACTCCAAAAAGACCTGCTAATAACTGCTGCGTGCAGCGAGGAATAGACCCCAACGTGGATGACCCCTCAGATTGTCACGTCAGTGTTGAGAATACCGTTCGTGGAGTATATCGCCTGACTTTGTCTCCTAGCCACACTCCGAGGTTCCTGTCAAGGACGAAGACTGGCCTACCCTCACCGCAATATTTCAGTTCCAGTCTAGAGTTCGAGCAAGACTGTTGAAGATCTACGATGACATCGATGCAGGAAAACTGAAGATGACCAAAAGGATTGGCAGGGTTTTATTCATGACGCTAGAACATGAAGCTATGCATGCAGAGACGCTTTTATACATGCTTTTGCAGCGGGCAGGGAAGGGGACAATGCCTCCTGTCGGATTTATTGCCCCGCCGTGGACATCTCTCGCTGAGCATTGGGATTCTGCCCTACTTCCTACGTCGAAGACAGTAACTTTGGGACCAACGACCTTGTGCCTTGGACACGATGACCAAGAAGGGTTCGATTTGGATGCCCCGGAGGACCTGGATCATGAATTTGGCTGGGACAACGAGCACCCGCAGAGAGAGATCACGGTTGGACAGTTTAAGATAGAATGGAGGCCTGTTACGAATGGGGAGTTTTATAAGTTCTACCTGAATGAAGGTCGCGATCAAGTGGACCTCCCCTCTAGTTGGGTTGAAAACGGTGATGAAATTCAGGTTTGATTACCCTCGCCGGCTTGAGGGCGTGTCTCACATAATTTTAGGTGCGCACTTTATACGGCCCCGTGCACATGGAAATTGCCCAACATTGGCCCGTTATCACGTCATATGTCGACCTATCGACGTACGCGACTGTGAAGGGGGGGCGCTTGCCAACCGAGCCGGAACTCCGACTGTTCTACGACAAATTTGAATCGGGCTACGAAGGTGGTGCGAATGTAGGGTTCCGTAACTGGCACCCTGTCCCGTGAGTGGTGGTTGAAACTTTCGTTGGTCACGGCAATTGATTTGCTTCAAGTGCAACTACAGGCTCGGCGAGGAGCTCCGGCAAGGGGAGCAATGGAGGAGTTTGGGAGTGGACCTCAACTGTGTTTGACAAAGTTGATGGATTCGTACCATCGTCGTTATACCCTGGGTATGGTCATGGATGTCTGGATCCATTATGTTGACATCATTTCGTGCAGGTATTCGACGGATTTCTTCGACGGCAAACACCAAGTTGTGGTAGGTTATTCTAGCGTTTTTGAAGCAAGAACTCGCTTAATTCGATACAGCTTGGCGGATCTTACGCCACCATCCCGCGGATCTCAGAAAGGAGGACCTTCAGAAACTGGTACCAGCGGAACTACCCGTATCCTTGGGTTGGAGGCCGTGTTGCATACGATATCCAAGACTAGAAGGCAAAGTCCAAGGACGATAATGTAAGTATCAATGAAAGAGACGGTATATTTCCTACATGTATTTGTACAGCTGGACAGTAGATCTTTGTGTGATATTCCCAATGTATTCCTTCCTAGTTTTGTCCCTTCAAATTTGCAGGTCTTCTCAATTGTGTGTCATCCCCATATCTTTAAGCAAAGGCCTGCGCAAAAGTTTCCGTTTCACTTCCCTCCTCCATCTTTATTACGGGTATAGAGACTGGCACGACGATGTTCGATGACTCTTTCGCCTTATCATGAAGATAGACTTGCGCATAGTGGAGGGCAAGACGTTTCTCGTTCAAAGACGCTTTCTTCCCGATCCAGATATAAATAGCAGGATAGGCGTTGCTCGACAAGTCCACCAAGAAAACATCATCAGACGAAAGCGACGCACGGTTCGCATGTGCTATCTTTTTAAAAACAATCTTGCCCGACGCATCTGAGAGAAGGAACAAGGCGATAGGCCCAACGGGCTTGATCTCCACAGGGCGGAGTTGGGTTCCCAGACCAAATTCAGCGAGGAACGATCCCGCGCCTGAACTTCCCTCATCTAAGCAACCAAATCGTATAAGGCTTCACTTTTAAAAACGATACTACATAGATGGCCCACGAACCATAAACGGTGACCTCGCATTGGCTCTGGCGCTGGCTAACCAGTGATTGCACGAACTCTGCAGCTCTAAATTTTTCCTGGCCAACACTTGACTTGGTGTTGAACTGCAAGATATGAGATCCTTTATCGAGAACGTATGTATCGCCTTCTACAAGGCTGGCCGCTTGAGCGGCCACCTCGCGAACGACAAGATGCGAGCGACCCTCTGAAACGCGGGTGTGCGTTATCTGGTAGAGTTTCTTGATATTCAAGGGGGGAGGGGCGGATACATGGTGGAATCCTGTGGCGACTCCGCCCTTTAAGATGACCAGTTTGGGAAAGTAGGATATAAATCGAGGAGTTTCGTATCCCTGGACCTCTCGATATTGAACCGGCTTTCCGTGAAGATCTATTGTGCGTGGATGAGTGACGAAGTGTGGTGCAAACGTGAATCAAAACGCACGGTCGTCAAGCTCCACCGTCTTGTAGGCAGCGGTACCGGCTTCATCCTGAGTCGTGTTTTCCCCTAGCCAGAAGTGAAGATCGTACGAGAATGATTCTGCTTTGGGTGTTTTCTTGTAGGTCTGAAGCGAAGTGACTACGTTTGAAATGGATGGAGGACCGAGTGGCGCCTACGTGTAGCACGATATAGGAATCGCCATCATAGAAAGAGCCTGCTCTATCCGCTGGCCAGGGGACTAGGTGGAACTTCTCAATGCGCCATATTTGCAGACCAAGGGACGTTCCAGCGTCTGTCCACGCGCTTTCTGTGTCTCCTGCGTGTTCTCGAACGCGTTTTTCGAGCTGCTCGCTCCATTCAGGCGAAAATCTTGTAGATGGGGGGTGTTTCTTACATCTGAGCCCAATAGAGCAATGTTAGAGTCTTTGATGTCGTAGATAGCAGGTTTCGTTAAATGAGCCATTAGATCATAGAGTGGGATCAAAGCGGTTGTTCGCACGCCAATCTTGCGCCAATCTACAAAAAGCAATGAATAGAGTGGTATACCGTGCAATTACAATTTATGTACATCTACAATGTGATATGGGTGTCTTTCAAGTTACCTCTTGCTACTCTGCGGCTTCATGATGAACTCAAAGTTCCTTTTGTGCGGGTCGATGTAATCCAGTCCCAATTCCGGGAAGATGTCTTCCTCCGTTGAAACTTTTAAGAGTCCCCAAAACCCCATGACGGAATGATTCTCTTCAATAGCATTCAACTCCTGAGATTCTGCAGTCACTTGGCCATTGGGGTACCACTTCCACAATCCGTGCAGGTTCAAAAGCATTCCCAACTGACTGGCCCTCGAGCGAATGTCCCGATTGAATTCGCCATCCCCAGTCAGTGCTAGCAGAGCGGTTGCTCGTGACTTCTGAGGTATGAGACTGACGTTTATGAGAAAACAATGAAGCGAATTCAGAGAAATGATAGATTTACTGGATAACCATGCGTCGGTATTGACCTTCTGTATCTGCAATTGCTGCAAGTCGTTCCGTTCGAGTACCTCGCTGATCTTCTGGACCAGGAAGACGAACGATGCCCTGCCACATTCCGACGTTTGCGCCGAGGGTTTCAGCGATCAGGCCCCGCTCTTTCAGAAGGGGAAGAATGTTGCTATGCAAAGGGCACGACTTGCGAGCTTTCGCGGTGAGGTTTGTTTTAATTTGTGATACTTTCTTGAGTGGGGTTTTTTTCTTTGGTGAAGTCGTAGGGTTGGGAGGAGGTTCCGTGGGCATCGGGACGTGAACAACATCTGGATGTAGCAAGATGACACTGATTTCTAAAGACGTGGAGGCGCCTCGTCGGCTTCACAGACTTTTGATAAATTTGGTATAACCGAGAAGAGCTCGGGTTAGGCAACTCACTGGTCGCCTACGACAATGATCTCATATTTTGGGCATAGATTTTCCCGAAGGAAATCCTTGTCAAGGCCTTAGTACCATTACAGACTGAAAATGAGGAAACATACAATGACTTGGTCTGCTTCTTCGCGCCGCACAGGCCGTTCAAGATGTTTCATGTACTTGATGCCAATGAGTTGGGTTGGCGATAAAAGATGTGTGTATTTTTGGGCGACAAGGTCTGCTATTCCCATGCATCCTGCGTCTACCAGAGCCTTCGCTTTGATACGTCTAGATCAGAAGATATGTGAAATCAAAAAGGTGTACTTGAGGAGGAGGAGGAAAAATTACCCAATTCCTGGAATTCTTAGCAATTCAGACAGGGCCCTCGTTTGCAGAGCCTCCTTCTGGTCGTTTAGGTGACCTAATTTTGGCGTCAAGCAGCGCAATAGTTATTGGCAAAAGAAACGCACCCTCCTCAATAAGGAAGTCATTTATTCTATTAGCGATACCGGCCCCAATACCATGAATCTGGGGAGGTCAAGTAAGTGAAGTGGGGAGCGGCTGGTGGGGAACACATACAGCTGATACTTGCTTCCCAGAATGAATGGGATAGTCAAGATTGGAAATAACCTTGATAGCATTTACAAAAGCATTAATCTTGAAGGAGTTGGGGGCAGTATTTTTTTCTTCTTGCTCCTTGTCTGAGATATGTATTTGAGATATATGGATTGGAAGGGTAACGGTGTCCTACGCTTTCTCAAGAGATCGATGATAGCTTGATTCTGAATCGACTTGGTGTATGCACGAACGACAGCGGGATAAAGGAAAGTCAAGCGACGGGTAGCAGGGAGAGTGCGAGTCAGCATCCGCTGGCCATAAACTTCGAGGAGAGCAAGTGTGACAGGACGTGAATTGCGTGACAGCATTACCCGTTTGTGCTCGTACTATCTCTCTTCAAATGACGGAAAGCACGTCCGCATTTCCTGCGTTTGCAGACATAAATCGCAATATGTCAGACTCGCAATTCAGGCAAACTTGGACCCAGATAACGACGGCAGCAAGTGCGACATTTGCCTCGCCAGCTCCTCAACCCGCCAATGCGAAGGGTATTCGCTATTTCAATCGCAATTCTCACTTTGTTTCTTATACATCCACCTTTTCTTCGTCCAGCGTATATGAAAAATCTCCATACTTGGTCTACAACAAATTCAACACGAGGAAATGCAACGCCGGGAACGCGAAGCACGCGGGCACGGAACACACGCACGAGCACCCTCGCGCCTGTGCCCAACGTATACGTTCCGCCCCATGTATACTCAGCGCCGCTGATGCCTATCATGCCCGCTGCCATTCCAAATCCTCCTCGACCACCATTACCGACAACGCCTCAAGCTCTGCAATCTACCTATGCATCGCGTCTGAGAACCGGCGCAACGCTTCTTATCCAACCTATCCTTGCAAACGCTGCTGCTTCAACAACACGCGCTGCAACAAGGCGGGGTGGCGTAATCAATTATGCGGATCCAGGTTCAGGAGACGATTTACCAGACGCTGGTGCTCTCGAGTCCGACGACTCTGACTTTATCGCGAGTGGTGGTACAAGGACGTCAATAAGACAATCTAGAGGAGGTAGAATGAGTGGTGCTACGGGAGGTGCCTCTTCACCACACCCCACTGCCCCGTTACGACCAGAAAAGGCTGAACTAGACCAAAGCTACCTAGGCTTGGTACCTCCCGCGAAATTTATCAAGCCAAAGCTAATGACGCCAACATTACACATATACCCGTGAGCCTTCGCCTCCATGTATGTCTTAGTGGCTTAACGACTTGCAGTACACCTGATGTGATGGAATCCCAAGCGCAAAGACGGAGTTCCCTCGTCCCAATTCGCATCGAATTCGAGACGGACACGTATAGGGTACGGGACTGTTTCGTGTGGAATCTGAACGAGACCATCATCAAACCAGAAACATTTGCGAGAATACTTTGCAACGATCTTGACCTTTCACCCAACCAATGGGCAGATACCGTTGCAAATCAGATCCGCGCACAGTTGGAAGAACACGAAGGAGTAGCGTCTATGGAACTGGGGTTGGACGGAGCAGTGGACATCGACGCGCCACCAACGCACGGGGAGGAAATTGCCGAATGTCGAGTTATCCTAAGTGTAAGCGTCCTCTTTTCCTTCTTGACGTCACGTTAAAAACATCAATAGATTGACGTCCAAATCGCGAACCACCATCTAATGGACCACATTGAATGGGATCTCCTCTCCCCCCTCACCCCCGAAGCCTTTTCACAAAAGCTATGCACGGAACTTGGGTTATCCGGGGAAGCTGTCCCCTTAATCGCACACGCCGTCCACGAAGAGCTTATAAAGCACAAAAAAGACGCTATCGAGTGGGGAGTGATCGGCGGGGACAGAGAGCCCGCCGACGACGGGTCAGGCGTTCGAGATAGGAGTGGGGCTGGAATGTTAAAGGACAAAACGGGGCTCGGACTTGGTTGGGGGAGGGCGCCGAGAGATGGGAGAGGGCCGAAAACGCTGAAGAGTGTTTGGAGGGATTGGGCAGAGGCGGAGGAGTTTAGGACGACGTTTGAAGAGTTGACTGCTGAGGAGGTGGAGAGGAGGGAGACTGAACGAGAGAGGGCGAGCCGGTATGTCTTTGTGTCGTTTATACTAGACCATCCACTGACGCATATCTTCCAGACGTCTGAGGAGAGAGACGTCCAAGTTCCAGAGTTCAACACGCAGTAGACGAAGATAATTTGTATACATTATTGTTATTATATTCCTTGCAATCTGATTTTTGTTCAAAATCGGTCCTCAATAATAGCACAAATGGAGGAGTGAGTGGCAGGAAATGTGTCGTCTACAAAGTATCAGGTCGATGACATGTCTCTATCTACTAGTATGTATCGATACATGGAGAATCTCTAAAACTATCGTCGGAGGCGGAGGCAGGAGTGGGGTGGTGTCCGTCTATGGTGTCTATGGATGCATCTAAATAGTTAAATAAACCGTACGCCAGAATTCAAGAACCATATATACAAGAAAAGCCAAAAGATGTATGTGACGAGGGAAAAAGAACGAAAAAAAAACGTTGCATCTCATCATCGGACAAAACTGTCAATAGACATTCTAGGGTCCGAGACTGTGGGAGGAGGGGCGCGAGCTGCAGCTTCAAACTCGCTAAAACCAGGCAGTGCAATTTTTTGCGCCGAATCATTTTTTTGCACAATGTCCGACTGGTCCCCGGTGTTCTCGGATCCATTGTCGGTGGGCGACAAAACAGTTTTCAGGGGAGGGAGCGTGATGGGCGGAGAACCAGACCTTGAGCCAGGCATTGATATCGAGGAAGCGAATCCGTTGAGATGCATGGGCGTGGAAGCACCAGAATGGGGCTGGGACGCTGCGGGCAGTGTGGCTCTAGCAGGCGGGGAACGATGTATGGGGGTCATGCCAAACGCGAGACGAACGGAGTGAGCCAAGTGATGATGGGGATGTGGGCCACTTGAATCACGGTGGTGAGTTGAGCCCGAAGGGTGCGACCAATGAACTGGTGACGGGGCACGGGAACTTGACACGCTTATGGTACCGCTTCCGCTTCCACTGCCTGAACTTTGGCTATGCTTAGATGGGAGCATGGGAGGAAGATGTGACGGATTGCCTGGACTGCTTCCGCTGCTGCTCGGACCACTTGAAAGCTGGGGAGTGGGAAGCGCAGGTGGCGTGTCCAAATGGGAGTGATTGTGGGGAAGCATGGCGTAATGCTGGGGATAACCTTCACCTCTGCGTTGCTGCTTCGCAAGGGCCCGATGCAGATAGGAGTTAGCGGAAGATGGAGGGCTGCCGTAATTGCTTCCTGGTCTAGATGTGGTCATGGTTTCTTCGTTGCCGATCAACGCGATATCTCGGTGATCCATGGCCCCCAAGGACGGCGGTGGAAGTAAGATGGGAGATGGTGCACGTGAAGGATTGGCAGAATGAATGTTGAGCATTCGCAAAGGACCAAGGAATGGGCTCGTTGAAGGCGTAAAGGCAAACTCCGGCGATGTAGCAGTTGTGGTGCTTCGAACGGCTGAGGAGTAATGCGGCGGTGATAATTCGCCAGAGCTACGATGGGCATGGGAGTGGGGTTGCTTGTGAGTGCGGAAATGACGAGGGGGTGATTGGGGCACAGGGTGAGGCACAGATTCTGAATCTGAGCTGATCGGGGAAGGGGAGTCTTCATGGCCATGCGAATTGCCGACGTGACGATAATGAGACTGATGATACGGATGCGTCCACATTCCATGTTGCAACAGCAAGCTGTTGTTCGGTTTCATGGTATCCACCAAATGGCCGGAAGAGCGTGACTGCACCAAGGGAGGATCCTGGCGGGATTGTGAAGTCGAAGGGAGATGCCATGGGCCACTGAGCCTTCTCTTGCCTTTTTTATCGGCTTCACGTTTTGAGTCCTCTTGGGAGAGATGTGATGCGTGCCAGTCCCTTTCGTTGGAAAGACCAAAATGACCCCGATCCTCGGTAGTAAGAAACATGGTTTTCATGACGGGACTCGTGGTTGCACTTTTACTGATTCGACCGTGGCGAGGCTGAGGCTGGATTGGACCAGCGCCATTAAAATGTATTTTGCGTGTCTGGAATTCAGCTCTACGCAAGGCCTCGGCATGTCGGGCCTCGTATTGTGCCCGACGAAGTGCTTCTTGGTGCTCGAGGGCATACAGCTCATCCATTGCAACACTGGATAAGGTTGCAAAGGGAGTAGCCGACATTGGAAGTGAATGTGTGGGAGCATGTTGTGCACGACGTGAGAGGGAAGATTCGTAAGGTCCCATAGCCGTAGGTCGGGCATAAGATTCGCCCTAGGAAATGTTAGGATTAATTGCCGAAAAAAGTCCGGAGGGCGTACCTCGTCGTCGCTATTGGCCCTACTCCGGGCTTTCTTCTTGACCCTTACTTCGGAGGCTTGTTCTGGGGTGAACAAATCGGACGTATGATCAAAGTCAACGTCGTCAACGGATTGCTTTGAGTGGGGTTTCTTGAGGGAACTGATAGTGTGATGAGTGTCATTATTATGGATGCGGGAGTGTCTAGTGAGTTCATCGGAGCGAGAAAAGCGCTTTTCACAAAGAGGAAAAGTGCAGACAAAGGGTTTTTCGCCTGTATGAGTTCGGATATGGCGAGTCTACGACAAAGTCAGCAATAAAAAGGGTTGAGTGCGGTAGGACGAACTTGATGCTCGAGCCTACTAAAGGCGCGACCGCAAAGCTGATAAGGACACTTGTAAGGCCTAGCGACTTTGTCCTGTGTGTCTGGCATGAAAGAAGTGTATGGGTGAAGGATGAATGAAAGTAAATTATTTAAAGCATGTGGGGAAGAAGAATGTGGAAGTGCTTGTGATAGCGCGTTACAGGTGCGTGATTGTGTGACTTGAGTGAAAGACCCTTGGGTCCCCCACGTTTTCATCCCACGCCCCGGACCAAACCAAGTCAAGACCAGTACCACGTGCGTATCACCTACAATCGCCTGCAATTCTAACAGCTTAGCCTCACCTTCCAAGCAGGGCTCCCACATGCATTGACTTCAAGGCGATCTTCGGCTTGGCTACTACAACCAACTCACCCTAATTTCTTCTGTTTTTCCGCCCTTTTCGCCTAGACTTTGACTTTATTCCGACATATTGTGGTTACCGAGCGTGCTTTTTGCTTCTTGCCCCACGGATGCACTTGTTCATTTACGACAATGAACATTCCATCGTTCTTACTCCATGCATGAATCCACATGCATCCTTACTAAATGTCCTAACGGAGGTAATTGCGGGCCCGCTTGTTGTTATCCGCCTATGTTTCATCGATTCTTCACATATACCCGAACATGGCTTCGAAAATATCGAGCAAATATCATGTTCCGGTTCCTTTGTAAATCACCCGTACATAATTTTCTTGGATTGATTGCGAGTGCAAATGTCAAGTGCAATTCAATTGAGAGTGTAGAGTAGGTACGGGAAAGGAGGGAAAATACATGGGAAAAAAAACTACTGTCAAGTCCCCAAGGTGGTTTGAACACCTGTCCCTGCGATACTTATAGGCAACAAGTCCACTGCAATCGCATGCTCTACCACTGAGCTATGGAGACATTAATAACCAGGAACAGGAGTCATTCAAGTTATGGTCACCCGCACAAATAGCGGCTCAATGCGGGCATTGGCTTGCCGCTTCCCCAGCGCCAATGTTTGACCTAACCCTCGCACTACCTACTGCCAGCAGAACTGGAATGCGAAGGAGGGATGTATTGGACCCAATCCTCCGCAACGGCTTCCCTTACTCCAGGTGATTTAGTACATTCCGGCGGAGTTCAAGACAACAATGACCATCCACCGCCAGACGCTTGTCTGCTCACAATTCTTGTGTCAACGCTCTCGCGTTTTCCTCTGGGGACGGCCGATTCCTTGCAAGTGGAGGGGATGGTATGCACATCGCGAATATTTGATTCACGCAATGCTGAGCTGCAGAACCGCTTCATTAGACCCACGTATCAACCTCTGGGATTTTCATCAAGAAGACGTCAAATCACCATTTTGCTCCTTTGTGGGACCTACCGTACTGAATTTTCTCTTTACTTTGATTCGCGCTCAAGTCAGTCTTAGGGAAACGTCCTCTCACTGGCTTTCTCTGCTTCAAACCGCTTCCTATTCTCGTGAGTGCTATCAGTTTTTTACAACAAAGCTCAACTAACACCTCACTCACTCCAGCGGGGGCACAGATAAAACGGTGTTGAAGTATGACACAACTCATCTTGAGGCCCTCAACAGTCCAAAAAGCCCCAGCCACGTATATTGCGACCACAGTGTACATCCCCCGCCATCCAAATTCCCGGATTTTTCATCTTTTATTATAGGACAGCGTCCGGTCTATCGCCTGTCACCCAGTTCAGGACGAGATATTCATGACTGCAGGGTCAGTTCGAATTCACCACCGATTGTCGAGCTATCCGCCGACCTTATCACAGCGAAGACGGAAACATTTATCGCCACGACGAGCGTTCAAGTAGCGGCCGTCCAAGGCCTTCAGACACGCTTGAAATACCAACGGAAGTCACAGGCGTACAATACCATCCCGTGATGGATCACTTATTCGTAACCAGCGACGGTCACGGCAACGTCTGTCTTCGAGACGAACGAATGGCCTTTGGACCGTCTACGAGGAGAACCCTTGAAGGTGTCGTCCTTGTGGTAAGCGTCTTGCGGGATAACGTCGAATGCACTACGACTTTTCCTCTAGTATAACACAAAACTAACACGGCGAGACGTCAAACCTCTCAGCAATCCTGAATCTAGCAGCGTAGTCTTTGATCGGGAAGGTATGTTCCCAACGGAAGCTTCATTTCAAAGTTTATCAACCCCACCTAGGGAATAAACTAGCCGTAACGATGTTGGTAAATATGACTTGCCGCTTACATGAAGTAATCCACATTGAATGTCTCCCTTCTCAGCATTATCTACCGACAATATACGCCGTCTCGGATCCTAATCCTGTTGCAGTATGTAGTGGCAGAAACTTACCCGATGGCAGTCCCGCTCCATCAACTGAGCGGACGTACTCAAATTCCTGCACAATGAAGGTATTGATACTCTTTCACAATCAAATTTTGAGCTCTTTTTTACTTATAAACTCGGAAAGCATGGGTCATTTGGACATCCTGGAGTCAACACCGACGACCTGTACTGTGCTGGATCCGACGATTTTCGAGGCTACATTTGGAAAATTCCCCCAATATGTAAACTCACAGAGCTAAGGACAGAGATGTCTGCAGACGAATGGGAGTCTCGAAAGTCATCATCAGCAGTTGGTACGTGGTAAGAGTTCACATATCAAGCATGGTTTAAACCTCGCTAGCTTTCACCGCTGGCCGAACGATGCGAAAATATGTTCCTTTGGAAATCTCGACTCCTTTCTGCCGACTCAATGGTTAGCAATTTTTTTTGAAAATTATCACTCCGCATAAAATGCTGATAAAACGGTTCTTCTCAATCAGGCCACAAATCAATCGTGAACACCTCCGTCTTCCATCCTCATTTCCTCCACGTCGTCACCTCGGGTATCGAGAAAGACATCCTACTTCACAGCCCCACCCAAGCATCTCCCTGCACATCCAATTTACAACCAACGCCAACGCAGGTTCGCCGCCTGACAGAAAACGGCGACGAAGATCGTCATACCTACTTTCGTGCCCTCGCGCATTTTTATCCGACGAATGAGGAGCTGGAGGATGAGCAAACGACGCTTAGCATGTTTGATCAGTAAGTTTGTTTTTGAGCAATTATTGTGTGAGTTCTTAACAGGTCCCCGTCTTAGCATATTGCGCGAGGAGGGCGAGGCTGATGTGTTTACGGTTCGTCGGTGGAACTCTGATAGCTCTGATGAAGAGCAGGAAGAACACGACTCGGACAGCTCAAGCGATGATTTTGGCGCACGTTTTGGTTTTGTTGTTAGTTCCCAGCCTTTCTATGATTGATGACAGTAGCTTAGCTGAAAGGGGTGAATAATGATAATCTAGGAAACACAGGACGCAGTATAATATGTCTATGGTGAGATCTAAAAGCACACTCTAGATAGAAAACCTAAGTAAGGTATCATCAATACCAGATGCTCCGCGTTCGGTGAATAGGTACCACGTCCGACGTCTGCAAACCTTCGACCTTCTCTTCACCATGCTCGACTTTCTGCGCTAGATCCCAAAGGTAAAAATCAATCAAGACGCTACTCACGACACCACTCTTCAATACATTCTCAGTGTCGCCGCCTTCCTCCTCTTGTATAAGCCGCAGAATTTCAGTCCGGACGCGCTCGACCGCTACTATGCTTGCCGCGCGTAAGCTCAGCTCATCTGCCGACCCTGAGGGGACTGGCGTTTTCGTCGCCAATTTCCGAATCAAGGCAGGAGGGTATGTGAGTATTCGCAAGTGGTGTAAAATTTGAGGAACACGATAATCAGCGAACATAGTGAGTTGGCGGATGTCGGCGCCACGCCGCCCAGGAAACAGTGGGTGTGCTGTGCTGGTGGATTCGGGGTAAAAGGCTGCCCACATTTCTGCGACTAATATTTGAGCTCGTTTCCAGAAACAAACTGAACGGGGATTCAACGCAAGTAATGTCGGATAATATTGAGCCCACCTTTTCTGCCCTCATAGTAAACCTCGTCGCGGAAACAAGGGAACATTTCCGTCACCATCTTTACGAGATCAAGGGCGGTTCCCTCGCCATCGTGTCGGCGTTGGAATTCACGTAGGAATCCCTGGAAAGAGCCTTCAAAGCTCTACGGGACGCAGCATAAGAAAATCTTTCACCGTGGACAACGCCTTGAATACGTACGTTACAAAGAATAAACCCAACCTCACGCATCACAGAAATGCGCTCCTGAAGGAGTGGTATTTTTTCGGTCGACTGGCTAGCCGGACGAAATATGTGTTCAATGAGGCTGTCAGGACACAGCGTCTCGGAGGAGTAAAAATTGGGGTCTGTGATGGGTATATCATCTTCAAGAGCTGATAGCCGCTCAGTTGATAGCTTTTTGTTCGAAAATAGAAATCGTTTACCTCGATTGAGTGACGCGACAAGAGACCAGTACCCAGTCCAAACCGTCGTCTCCTCCGATTCCCAGCTAGTCTTCCACTCGACGCCGTATCTCTCAGGTAAACCTTCCTTCTCTGACCAGAAGCTAAAGTTTAAGGAGGAGATAAGAAAAATCCAATTTAGAACGGATTTATTTAAGGGGTCAGAAGCGTTGTATGGTTCAGAGGGGCAGATGTGCAGCGGGTGGGTGCGCCAAGTCCGTGGCGAGTAGGATTCAGCGAGAACCTTCCGCCGGATCTAAAGGTATGCTTATAAGTTCCCAAATACGCCAGAGAAGAGGAGTGGGTCAGTTTCAAACTGACATATTTGGCTGCCAGTTTCACCCCATCTTCATTGATACTGACGAGGTTTGTTTTCTTTGTCAATAATGTATTATTTTCATGATAGCAAGCTGTGAAGGCTCGCCTGCTCACCTGGTACGCAAACTCTGCAGATTCCAAGACAGGATTTCGAGTCTCCTCTAAGCTCAACGGCTTTTCGTCAACCACCGGCGGTGTCGAGAGTCCTTGAGGAATTACGAATAGCAGGGCCATTTTCAGTTGTCGGTAACAGTCACTGTGCCAGCAAGAGTTACTTTGATTGACGGACCTCCGTCATTTTCAAAGGAATCGGTAATTTAAAATATAGATACCGGCAAATTTGTTGATGAGACACGGATCACGATCGGTACGATAAACAAGCCCAATTTGGCAAATCTGGCCTATGTAGCACTTGGCAGTAAGTTTGGGAATTGGAAGTTACGGCGTGCATAACGGCGATCGCTTACGGCGGCACTTTCCGTGACAAAAAAAGCTTTCATTTGTTCAAACAAATTGGATGGCCGTGTGGATTTAGTTGAGTAGATACATTCATTTGTAAATGGAATCACTTTTCTTATAAAATGTAGCTGCAATATCCATATACCCGCCTGATGAACTCGTGAACTAAGCGCTAAAGTAATCACGTGATGACGGCGGAAACTGCCGCCGTAAACGATCGCCGTAATTACGGCGCCGGAATTTCCAATGTACGAATGCCCTCGCACTTGGAAGGTTTGGCAATTGGTCGACAAACCCAGAGCTGGGTTTGGGAATATTACGTGGTAACGGTCAAAAAAATTAGAGGAAGAGACGCCGTGGGTCGTGGAATTGGGAGCCAGAGTCAAGTCCTGCTTCTTGGTTCTCGGACTCCACTCTCAGAATACATATTTTTAAACCAAAAACACAACCGTTCTACAGAACCACTGCCCCTGATGGTGGGTATGTCTGGACTCATCTTTTTCAAGTACTTTATCGTTCATCATGGCCATTTGCTGAAGAGCCGTGGTCCTCCGTGTCCCCAGGTGACGACGGTACAGAATATTCGAAAGCGGGGAAAACTCCAACGCCTGCACCATTCATAGTCCACGTATCGGTCGTCAAGCGCACTGGAATGACCTGTCGAAGATCACGAAATGATGATTTCTTTGGGTCGTGGGGATTGACAGTGAATAGAATAAAGTCCTGTATGAGCGGTATTAATGCGGCATCATACTGAAGATGGTTGCGTATCGAACAAACCTTCACGGTCAAGCCGGCTGCTCTAAACCCAGGTATCGTACCTTCCTTGATCGTAACTTCGCCAGTAAATGAGATCCACGTAGGGCCGTCCCCCTGAGGAACATCAGTGTGAGCCACACGATTTTTTTCATGACGATGTAAGGTTCGAAACCACTGACCGCATGCCTAAATTTTCCTTCGCCAATGCAATCCACTCTCCAAATGTCAGTTTTAGCGCCAGATTTTAGGACATTTCTACGCAGCCGCTAAGAAATGCAATTTATTTTATGCTACATATAGTCACGCACCGCACATCGACCGTAGACTGTCTTGTCAATTCCAAGCGGGTCGCCTTGGGCTTGCCAACAACCGTAACAACGGGGCTGTACGGAAGAAAATCGGCAAGCGACATTGCTGACGACTCCAAAGTCAGGTGAAATGGAATGGGCTGCCCAACACAAAAAATCCTAGACGCAGGCAGGTATAGTTTGGTTGTGATATTTTGACCCGAAGATTTCTTCGCGACCATGACAGACTCGTACACTCTCCATTCGGGAGTTAAGATGAAACCATTCTTGGTTGGAAATAGTTGAGTAGGTATGGGATATGCAGGCCGGGTTCGAGGGAGGTATGTGAATGGGATCGTTAGATTGCTACTGGAAAAGTGTGAGCATAAAATAAAACATTAAAATTAATTGACGGACCTAGCTCCAGATCCGATGTTAACGTTGAGTGCTTTAGATTTGATTCGGAGTGGGATTGCATTAGATTTGACTATGGTGGCGCTGACGGAATACTAGTCTCGCCGCAAGTTTCAGTAGCAATTTCGGATTGAAGATGGGACAAAACCAACGTCGATATTCGCAGTGAATCCTGGGAGGCCCTCGAGTTTGACGTCGAACGTCGGAGGAAGGGGCTAAGATCCTTCAGTTCTTATAATGATGTCATCAGATAAGACGCACATAGGTTTTGTCTTCAAATGTAAAGGTGCTTGGCAATGTAAGAGCGAAAGGCATGGACGGCGGGCACATAATATTGTTGTCGTCCCTAAACCACACCAGTGCCGTATCCAAGCAAAGCCTCGCGAGGGCCGTACCTCCTTCTGCTATTTCCCTCAGCTTGAGCCGCCCTTCGATCTACAAGTCAGACAGTCGTGAGAGATCATTTCCCCTTGCAGTTCGCCGTTCTGACCTTGACCTCGACACTTTGAATTCCATCTGTTTTTGAGAGTTCAACCGTACCCTCGACAACACCCCTCGATCCATAAATCGGCAAGCTGATATTATCTTCTTGCGCACTCAATCGCAAACGAGCGTCCCCGTTTTTCGACTCCTTTACAAAACTACCAGATGGCCTAGGACGAAGGCGGTCGGCCAGGGCTAGCCTCCGTTCATAGTCGTGCGGCTCTGCAGAGTACGAAGGGACGCGGTTGAGCGAGGGTGAGAGATATGACGGAAGACTGTTGGTCGACATTGGCGATCAGTGCAGAGAAGAACTCGGGAGCGATGACTCCTCCATGATATTCTGGGTTCGGATATAGAGACAGTTTGTTTATGGAGCATGTGTGTGGTATGCCGTCATGGCAAGGCGAAGAAACCGGGTGCCATATGGGATTTCTATGATGAGTCGGAAGCCGTTGTCGTGCTGCGTGTAAATTGCGCATGCGGTATCGCCTTGAGGTTGTCACCATCAAAGTAGTGGTATTATTGAATTTCGAATCCCTGTCACGGTCCAAACGTTTACAATTGACTCATGTAACATCCCTCTCAACACTTTCGCAATTGGTTTGAATATAAACCAGTTATTAGAAGTACAAGACTTGGTATGTAATTACAGCAAAGAGTGAATGAGAAGTTGATACATATATGATCCAATCATTGAGCTATGTTGGAGGCGGACGCCGGATTTGCACAGGTTTTGCGGCCGGTTGTTCAGGCTTCAAACGTTTGGCCAGGGAATCATCCCCAGATTGCGAGCCATCTTCACGAGGCCGTTTGCTCGCAGCGCCCATGATGGACATGCCGCCTGCGGTGGACGCGGCGGCGGCGGAAGCGGCGGCAGCAGCAGCGGGGGCAGCAGCTGGCGAGGGTTTTACAGGTGCCACTCTTGTAGGTGCTCCAGCACGCCCTGCAGGCGGACCACCTCGGCCACGGGCTCCGCCTCTTATCGGTACAGAAGGTGCCCCTGGTGCACCAGGCGTTAAAGTCGGCCTCCTGGGTAGAGCTGTAGCATTGGTGGGGGTAGTTGCGACTTTCACAGGGGTCTGAGAAAGGGTTTGCGCTTGTGGCGTTGTCGAAACTGGTGTCGGTGGGGGTTTAACAACAGTCTGGGACGTGCTGGCCTGAGGCGTTGCTGTTGCTAGGGTTGAAAGTAGAGGAGGAACTATGCCTGAGGCCTGCCACTCATGCATTTGGGCCTCGAGTTCTTTCACCCTTTTCTGCGCCTTCACAAGTTGCGAGTCTTTCAACTTGCCTTTGGCAGCTTGTTCCAATCGGCCGCGATCAACAGCAGACGCGATCTCTTCAGCATGGCGAGCTTGCAAGGCTTTCTCGTGCTCAGCAATGGCTGCATCGATGATTGCCTTTTGATCGACATTTGTTGTCGCTGGTTTGTCTTTCAATGCTGCCTGGACCGCAGAGTCAACTGCTATTTGAAGATCGGCCTGGTACTTCGCCGAGAGCTCTTCCCGCAGGAGCCGCAGTTCTTCCGCATGCTGCCTTTGTAGATCAGCTGATAGTTGGGGGGTGGATGATTGGTTCTGGCTTTGCCATTCCAGCCTCGCCTTCTCAACAGCTTCGGAAACAACCCCCGCTTGCAATTCTGCAGCGCGTTCTTGATTAGTAGCCCTTGCCTTCGTCATATCAGCAATACGTGACTGGAGCTTTTCCTAGACCGGGACATTTATGACCAGTGTGTTGCACGAGTGCGAATGACGTACATTTGAGAAGCGAATATTTTTCACATCCTCGCCCGATTTTTGAGATTCTAATGTAGCAGTCTAGGGGGGACACCGTTGGGAAATTATAAAATAGGGAGCAACGATTTTATGACAGACCTTCAAATTATGAAGAGCCTCATCACGGGTTTTGATCAGTTCAGCCTTTTCAGCCTCCCAAGAGCTGGGCGCTTCAGATGATGGCGCCGTGTTCCCTGATGGCTTGATCCAAGATGCTTTCTCTGCAAGGAGTTTGTCTCTTTCTTCTTGCAAAGCCGTCTTGAAAATTAAAAAAAAATCTTAATAATAATAGTCCTGCAGCGAAGAATCTACTCACAATGACAGAAGTTTGGTCTAGATCACCGGATGCTGTCTCTGCTCTCACCGTCGACGAGGCGGCTTGCAATGAGCTATTCTGGCCCTCCAATTCAGCAACCTTCGCTTCGAGAAGCTTTTTCTCCGCCGCAATTTGGGATACCTTGCCGTTGAGCTCGCCTAATTTTTGTTTATAGCCTGCCGAGGTCTTCTGATAATTGTCTCTATGGCTGCGGAAATTGGCCTCGAGCGCTTCAATCTAGGTAACTTTGTCAGTCATGCGATGTAACGGAATTATCTACCTATCGACGTACCCGTGCATTTTTTTGCGACAACAGAGCGTCTTTGTTGGAATCAGCTTGTTCAAGGTCCGTTTTTTGCTGTTGAAGATCCTTGATAGTCACATTGAGGCTGGAGATCTCATCCTTCAAAGCTTGAACTTCCGCGGGGTCGATGCGATCATACTTCATGTAACCATTTGAGCAGGAACGGGGAACAAACATGAAATGCAGACCTTGGAAAGAAGTTGTGTATTCCGCTCTTGCCAACTGCGACTCTCTTGTTCTAACCTTTGCACTTGTGCTATGCTCGCCTGTAGCTCTGCTTGAGCATTGCGTGCTTGTTCCTTGACGGGGTCGAGCTCAGCGGAAGCCTTTTTCAGCTTCGCCTCAAGGTCGCGGGATTTCTTTTGGTATATCTCGCAGTCTGCACGTAGAGTTGCGTTACTTTCACGGAGAATATTCATTTGATTGATTCGTTCAACGAGCTCAGCGTGCTGTGACGCGGACGCTGCGCTCTCGAGAGCCTTTTCCCGTTCCTAGAGAACGAAGATCAGGGATTAAAATTGTTGAGCGAGTTGGAGATTTGTCACCTCAGAGATGGTGGTTCGAGCCTCTTGCAGGGATTGTGAGAGGTGCTCAATTTGGGTCTTCAAACGGGCATTCTCTTGTTTGCTAAGTTCCAGTTGGAGGTCGACGATTTCCTTCTCTTTCCGCAGATAAGAAACGACAGAGCGGAGTTCAGTCAACTTCGCAGCTTCGTTATCGGCGGAATCGCCTTCTGTTGACACGGAAGACGAATCTGCAGCCTGTCTAATGCGAGCAGCCTGTGAACTGACGGACTCAAGATGTTGGTGAAGAATCGAATTTTGCGTGGAGAGATCCTGACAGCTGTTCATTTAAGATTGAGTCAGGTCTGCGATGTTGTTAAATAATTAGTCGTTACCGCGCATTCAAGTCAGAGATTTCCTTGTCGAGAGCATCCTTTTGCTGATTCCAGCTGGTCTCGGATGTTGCCAGTTTTGCCTGAGAGGTCTCGCTGGTAGCCAAACTGTCCCGGGCTTGGGTTTGAGCAGTATTTAGCTGATGCTTGAGAGTTTCGATAGCCTTGATAGATTCAGCGTGGACGACAACCTCATGGGAATATCTTTCTTCAGCAGCCTGAGAAGCAAGTTAAATCATGTTTTCATCGATTGGGCGAGCAGCTCGACTCACTTTAGCTCGTTCTTCTAATTGCCTCACTTCCTGTTCCCTCGAGGTCCGGTCATTTTCAGAATGCTTCTCGGAGGTGGTCATGTCTACGATTGCGTCCTCCAGAGTCTTCTTGTCGTTCGTCCAGGCTACGCGTTCTGCCTCTATGGTCTTCTGAAGTTCGTTATGTTGCGTCTTATGGAGTGCCAGTTCTTCGTTTCCCGCGCGGAACTTCTCCTCAAGGGCCTTGTAGTCGGACTGGAGAACACGTTAGCAAACCTTCCAGGGGTAAATGGGAATTCTTCACCTCATGACGTGCAAACTGAGCTTCCGTCGATTCCTTGTACTGATCAAAGGTAGCGTTGAGATTCGCAAGAGCTGCCTCGCTTGCTTGACTAATTTCTTGGAACTGCTGCACATGACTTCTTGCTGTGGCGAGATCAACCTCCGTTACCTTGAGGGTGGATCTAGCGGCGTCCGTCAGCTTAGTAGTGATGACCAAAAAACGAATAATACAAACCGGAGCTCTGCTACTTCTGCCTCAAGTTGTTGTTCGCGACTGAGGGCATGATCAGGACTTTGTATGGGTCCGCTGGCTGCAGTTGTTCGACGTTCGTAAACGGCAAGCTTTTCCTCGTTTCCTTGAAGTCGCTTGTTGAGTTCTTCAACCCGCTGTTCAAGATGTTTCTTGCTGGTTTCGGCACCGACCAAAGCTTCACGAGTTTTAGAAACTTCTGAGACCTGGAAAAGAAATAAGGAGACTGTATATCAGCCACATTTGGGAGAACCTACCATCTTGTCCAGGCGGTTCTGAAGTTCCTTCGCTTCAATATCTTTCTGTAAGGACAGTTGCCGGACGGCGTCGCGTTCCTGCGAAAGTTGTGTACGCAAATCTTGCCTGGGCGCGGGTTCAGCGATAAGAGCTCCGAAAGATTGTCCTGGAATGCTTACGTTTGGCCTTCGAGCATTTGGAGCTGGTTTTCGAGACGTCGACGGTCGTTTTCTCCGGATCGTTCGAGGTCGTTATGCATTTTTTGGACATTACCCATGAGATCAGAAAGGTGAGATCGCTCCATCGCAAGTGTCCTATTCTCCTCCACGAGACGCCCCTGTACACTCTGTATCGTTTAAGGAGATCAGCAGGCCAGTCCTCCCACATCAGAAATTGACGAACCTCCCAAATCTTTTTCTCTGCTCGAAGATTGGCACACTCGTTCCGCAACTGTTCGACACGTCCGTTGGATATCTGAAGGTCCTCTGTCACACGGCTGCATTCGACGTCAACACGAGTCCATTGATCGAAGAGTTGTTGATTCCGCTTGGTGAGATCATCCAGTTCGCGGCCATGTAGCTGGAATTGTTCTTGATGCATTTGGTGACGGTCTTGCGTTAAAATATTAAAAATATTATTCAGGAAAACCAATACGAATGATTGGACTTACCAGAGAGATACTCAATTTTCGCGTTGGCTTTGGCAAGTGCGGCCCCTAATTGGCTCACCTCTCGCTGCGCCACAACGAGATCTTCCCGTAGCCGACCTGCGTCAACTCCCATCTCCATCCTGTATGCGTCAAACTGACCCTGCACTTCAGCGAGTTCTTTGGCGATATCGCTTTGAATAGCGGGTCCATTGCCGATACCGTTTGCGACAACGTGCTCTGCGGAACCACCAGCCTTCTCTGCTCTCGCAACCATACTCCTCAGAGTATCCCTCTCCTTCATGTAGGCCTGTATCACGCTTTCGCTGCTCTTCTTCTGTCTCTCCAGTTGAGCAGCAAGTTCCTGCATTGCCTCATGAGCTTCACGGACAGCCTCGCCTTGCTCCCTCTCCATCGCTTCCCTGTAGTCCCTTTCCTCACTCTCCATCTTCGCGCCCAACTCCCTAACGATCCTGAGGAGTTTTTGGTTTTGTTCCTGGATTCCAGTAATAGACTTGAATGCGACAAGATTATGAGTGATGAGTGAGGAGATGTCCTCTGCAGGTACGGCAGCCACATTTTCAAGCTCGTCATCTGGCGGTATTGTGGGGTCGTTGCGTCGAGTAATTTCGCGAAGGAGAGATTGCACTTGACGTCCCAAGTCTCCGAGCTGTTTCTGGAGCAAGTCATTTTCGGAGGTGGACTTCGACAACTTCTGGGCATTCTCTTGCGCTGCGTTCGCCTGCGCGTCCCGTTCTGCCAGAGCTTGGGATAGCTGGGAAGCAAGTTGGGAAGCTTCGGATTGAAGTCGTTCGTACTCGGCGCGTTGTTGAGATAAGATTGGAGCCTGTGACACCCTTGTGAATTTAACAACTTAGACGGAAAAAAAAACCATCAACGCACCCGCTCTTCGATTTGAGCAAGAACGGCTGAAAGAGTGCGATCCATGTGATCATATTCTGCGGTTTTCTTAGCGTAGTCTTCCTGAAGCCGCACATACTCGGCATAAACTTCAGTGAAGGTCTTTCCAGTCCGTTGAGCTTTGCTGGCCATTGCCACAGTGGGGCTAAGACCCATCATACCGTCGGCTATGGAATCGGATGGCCCAGGCGTCCTCATGGGCGTTCCAGGCATAGGAAGCTCGCCACGTCCCATCCGTTGCATAAGATTCTCCAGTTGCTCAACTCTGGCCTCCGCTTGATCTCGTCTCTTCGCCTCACGCTCTACATCCGCCCTCAGCGCTGCTTCCCTTTGTTCAGCCCGCTCTCCCACACTAGCCCATTCACGCTCAATACCCTCCACAATTTCCTTCGCTTGCTTCTCCCTCTCTTCCATCATGCCTACAAGACGCCTAAGACCACTTGCTTCAATCGAATACTTCGCTTCTTGTTCAGCAAGCTGTCCAGTTAAGCCTTGTACCTTTGCTAATGCCTGCGTTAGTTGATGCGTTTGCGCAGTGTGAGCCGATTGTAATGCTTTCAGCGATGATTGGGTGGAAGCGTGGGTTTGAGTAAGAGAATCAAAGGATGACTGAAGATTGGCCATTTCCACGTGGTTGGTCCTGCGGTATTTGGCAAAGTCTTCAGTCTTCGCTAGGAGCTCAACATTCGTACGGTTAGCTTCTGCTTGCGAGAGTTCGAGTTGTTGAGTAAGGGAGTCGAGTTTGAACTAAGAACATTGTGAGAGGGGTGATGGCCAAAAGTTAGTCAAGACGGAACCTTGGTGGATGTCTCAGTGGATCGTAACTCCCGAACTTGAGCCTCTAAAGCCTGGTGTTCTTGACGAGCCTCCTTGAGGTTTGAGCGAAGAGTGTGTATCTCCTCTGAGAAGTTGTAAGAAACGGGACAGAGAAATAGAAACCATAACTCACCTTCTCGTTGTGCAGTCTCTTGCTTCAAGCGGCTGATGACTCCAACCAAGTCGCGCTTCTCGCGCTCCGTGTCGTCCACTCTATGTTTTAGATTCTCGACTTCTTCGGACGATGAAGACTTGGACGTTGATAACTCAGTTATCTGAACTTGTAAAGAATTCTTGGCTTCCACTGGTCCCAGTAATTTAGTACGAGAAAGGGAGTCAGGAAACGGCACAAACATAGTTGGTCGCGTTCCAGTTTAATCTGCCTCATTTCGTCACTCGCAGCCTCCAAAGAAGCCTCGAACTCCTTTGAAACACTCTCCTTATCCTGAAGGGCTTGGTCGAGTTCAATATCCTTCTTCTCAACTTCGGCACGTGTATCGTCGAGTTCTCTTTGCGTATTGTCGAGGTCGGCGTGCTGAGCAAGAAGTAGACGGTAAAACGAAATAATGGCATCTTGGGAAGGGGAAGTAATATCGACGTTAGGGAAGAGTTGCGACAGAACCTCCTGGTCAACGTCGTCTGGAAGGGATACCGAGAACGGGTGTGCGTCATCGTGGGATGGCCCAGCCTCATCATCGTGGTCCACCGTCACAGCCTTCGACTTTCTCCTAGTCTTCATCATGGGAAGCAGTAGTCGCCAAGGGATTCGAGCTGGCCGGGGCGAACAGCGAGCTCAAAGAAATTCAATGAAAGCGTGGCTCAATGGGCTGGCAGGTGACAATGAAACACGCGTCCACGTGCCTGCTTATGTAATGAAGCATTATCCTTGAACCTTAATTTTCAGATCCTACCTTGTCAACACAACTTTTGGGTAAGTGAAAGCAGCCTATAATAAAGCAAAGGATCCTTAACCAACACCTTCTAGTCACCTTCTGACTCATTCACGCATTCAAAATGAGTTACGTCGCCAAAGGAGAAAAAGAATACGATGCCACAGGTGCACCCGTTCCAGGAGCCAAAATCCACAAAATCAGGATCACCCTCACCAGCAGCAACGTCAAGAACTTGGAGAAGTGTCAGCGACATTTCTTTCTATCTGACTAAATCTTTACTGATGCACCCGCCAGTCTCGACTGACTTGATCAACCGTGCAAAGGACAAGCAGCTCCGTGTCAAGGGGCCCGTTCGTCTTCCTACCAAGGTTCTCAAAATCACCACCCGTAAAACTGTTAGTTCTCTTTCGCATACATACACTACCTTGCTAACGCTTTTTTTTTACAATCCAGCCTTGTGGTGAAGGTTCTAAGACCTGGGATCGTTACGAACTCAAGGTTCACAAGCGCCTCATCGACTTGCACTCTTCCAGTGAAATTGTGAAGCAAATTGTGCGTTTTTTTATTTATTCAAAAAAAAATAGCTTCCAGCGACTCAACATTGGGACAGACGAGCATCAGTTTGGAGCCTGGTGTCGAGGTCGAAGTCACTATTTCTGCATAAAGTGTGTACATCACGACTGTAGCATAATGACACTTCCCGTTTGATGCCACCATTCCAATGTACTGCTTCGTGATATGTCATATTCCGCCCACATCGATAGAAGGCAATAAATGTGCCCTGCGTTTTACTGCCATCGTAAGATTACTATGGTAATAAATGAGATTTTTGGGAGACGGGACCGACATCATGCATCATTGTGAGAACGTCGACTGTATTTAGTCCTGAACACCTCTTCGACTGTCGAAGTCTTGTAATCACAGATGGGGAAAAGTGCGAAACTTCATAAGAGAGTGGTAAGATAGCAGACTGTCGCCTCTACTTTTGAAAGCCAATCTCATTCCTCCACGCACAGAAAAAAATAGCATCGTCTTCGAGCGGAGGTACCGCTCCAACATCAACGTCAGCTCAAGGTCATGCTCAAACCGCGAAGAAACGAGCAACCTTGAAAGAGAAAGGAAAGCGTCCAAATCAGCGTCAGGATGGTCCTGTACTGGGTGGCGCAGACTATGTTTCCCTCATGATGGGTGGGAGGAGGAAAGCAACTGAGGAAGCCCGAAAACTACCCCAGAACACATCGTAAAACGGGAGATTTCACCTGCGTCGTCGTGAGTTCCCACTCGAAATTTAGTCCGAACATGTGTGTCTAAAACACTAGAAAGGTGTTCCAAATTCTTGTGCTCGACATTCCCTCTACTCATGATGGAACTTCAAGGCAGGAACTACGTCCACGAACCATGGTTGATATGCATACCTGTGGATTGAATTTGTCCGTCCACTTTTACAGATAAGGACTGCGCGCCAGAAAATAGCATCTAGAGGCTAGCGTCCCAATGACATGATCCTCTCATCGTGGAACAGTTAAATAATTCACTGTACCGAGCATGCTACTGCGTTAGGTCATCATAAGTACAACACTCATCAGCGTCTATTATCTCGCAAGTCCCGATTCCAGTCCGAACTATAGTTACTAATGGTTGAAGCCCTTTCCGGAAAGGCAGGGGGTACTGCCTGCAGTGGTCTCATGCGAGACGAAATGGGAGTAAAATACTGAGATTGGGGCTGAGAGACGGGGCCTTCGTTGTTGAAAGGATTGTCGGAAAACGAAGAAAAATCCCGAGACGCGGTGAGGTCCACCGGAACGTCAGACGGAACACCCAAATGTCGATGGCTGATATTGGAAGCTGGTTCGAGTGGAACGAGATCTGACACTTGCCGTATGGGATTGTCTGATTGATAGGTAGCAAGGTTCAGCAACCCTTCAATGTCAAGGGAATGCAACGATCCGCGTTCCCCGAGCTGGCGTTCTCCTTCATGACGATTCAAAGGGGGATGGTCCTTCGCTGAGAGACGCTGATCTTCGGGTATGTCTTGACTCCAAGAAGCCAAGCTACCTCTGGTATGTGTTGGCTTGGTAGGTGATAGAAAGTCATCTTTCGTGTAGATAGGATTGCTGACGACCCCACTTCGGGATAAGTTCTCAGTGAAAGAAGGTGGTGGGCGTAATATCCTTTCGTCCTTCGCCGTTGTTGTCAAACGGGATGAGTCAAGATTGATAGACTTTCGATGTCGACGCTTCCGCTCGCGCAGGATGAAAATAATCATGCCGACGACAATCAGGACCACAGCGCCTCCGCCTACAGAACCCCCGATAATAACAGCTCTGTGCAGCAGGGTAAGGCCTGTCTGGGAAATGTGAAGAAAATTTATCTCACTTGGACGTCATGGGTGAAGAAACAGCACTTTCTGAGGTAACGGATGTGGTAGTTTTGTTAGACTTCATACAGCTCGTGGGACTGGAAGCATCTCCGAGAACTAGAAGAAGTTGAGAGCTAACGACATGCGCAGAATATGAAGACTTACTCGTCAACAAGGGCGTAGTCTCGTGGACATCAGCCCCATCGTCAAGAAGAAACAAGACTGATTTTCCACGACCGAACTTGACAAGGTACTTCGCTATGCCTTGCACAGGATCGTCCGAGGTTTGGTTCAACTCGGACGAAGACCCAGTTGGATTGTAGAATCGAACCGTTGGGGAACGGGCAACAGCGGACGCATTGTACCTGATAACCATTTCTTCGCATTGTGATACGGTCGTAGCATTCAAGCTGAACTTTCTGCGGGAAGGACTGGGTATACACGAGGAATTGCCGGTGGGCGAAGGAAGCACCCTGAGGATATCAGACACCTTTAGAAGATTCTCGCCTGAATCATCGTTGATAGATGTTAGAAAGTTGGAACCAGCTGGAATGGGCAGAAAAGACAAGTCAATGCCTTGGGAGAGATCGGGGTTTGTGATGGGAACGAGGATAGCTGTGGAGTTGAAAGGAAGTATCGACAGCGTCGCAGGTGGCAAAGGGGTGAGATCACCGCTGCCCGAAAAGTTAATAGTGAATGGCTCGCATTGCTGAGCCTGTGCAGTGGAGTTGAACTTGAGAGTTGCGGAAACGATCTGCGTGCCAAAGAGGGATATAATTAGTGAGGCGTGGATAAACATTTCCAAGAGCGAGAGAGAGAAATATAAAATAGGTGCAGGCCAAGCTGCACAAAGCTGGCGAGCCAGGCGCAGAGTGAAGGCGAAGAAGGGATAAGGAACGAAAAGAAAAAGAAAGATACGAATAGGGCTTACGTCTTGGTGATATACAGCCCTGTGAAATCTTGGTTTGACTGAATTAAGCTGAATGGATGAACTGAACAGTCAGAGAACGAATTTGAGAGATCATCGAGATCATCCTGAGCTTGTTCTGAGCGATGGTATCAATTTGGTAGTCATCTTGAACATCTTGGTAACCGGAAACCACGGTCCGGGACATGGTTCAATTTGTGATCGACATGAGCCACGTGACCGACCAATCTCTCCTCTTACCAATACCATGATCCGGACGTTCGTCGCTGCTCCCCACAGAGTCGCTCATACCCGTTCTTTATCGACTACGGTCTCTCGCAGACAACACATTCTACCCAAATCAAACTCACCCATAGTATCAAAGCTAGAGTTCTTCAATTCTGTCACTGGTGGTTCATCCCTGATCCCCACATACCGCGTTCTCGATGGTGGAGGAAATGTTATACCTGGCGCGGAACTTCCGCAGGTATATCTTTTTACGCAAAATGGGTTGGGCTGCTGTAATGTTGCATCTGGAACAGATTGATAAAGCCTTTGCTCATCGGTTATACGAAAACATGCAACTGCTCCCTACTCTCGACACAGTGCTTTACAACGTGCAACGACAGGGAAAGATATCTTTTTACGTGTGTTATATTCCTCTGCATCTATTCCCTTACTCATTTATTCTTCAGATGACCGCTGTAAGTGAGGCGTGAGTTATGAACGCTCCTCAAATGATGGAATTATCCCAGTATGGAGAAGAAGCGACAATTATAGGTTCCGCTGCAGCCCTTGAGATGGACGATGAGTAGGTGATTTTAGAGTACGACCGAAAACTTCTGATTTAGTATGTTTTAAAAAAATACTTAGAGTTTTAGGTGAGCGATCGCAGTTCATTTCTATTTTTGTACTCAGAATCCTAGGTCAGTATAGGGAAATGGGTGTCCTGCTTTGGCGAGGGTTTGCCATCGACGACGTAATGGCCCAGTGTTTTGGTAACGAGGAAGATGGGTCCGGGAAGGGAAGACAAATGCCGGTCGTATGTTTTTTTCTTCTTATAAATACCTCGCAAAATATCTTAGAACGTCGCAGCATTTTGGCTCGCCTAAACATCACTTTCACACAATCTCATCGCCGTTAGCCACACAAATACCCCAGGCGGCCGGTGTGGGGTATGCTCTGAAGCGCACACCAGACCGCCGTTCACGATCAATCGCTGCTTGTTATTTCGGAGAGGGCGCCGCGTCAGAAGGAGGTCAGTATTGTGCTACTACCGTTAACTTCTTTTTTCATCCTGATAAATAATTGAAATATTAACAGATTTTCATGCTGGGCTCATGCTGGCTTCTACAATACCCTCGCCCACGTTATTTATAGCACGCAATAATGGGTTTGCGATCAGCACGCCAAGCACCGAGCAATACAATGGAGATGGGATCGCAAGCCGAGGCCCGGGGTACGGAATCGATACTGTGAGAGTAGACGGAAACGACGTTCTCGCCGTTCTTGCCGCTATTCGTGAAGCTCGAAAGAGGTGCTTGGAACAAGGCCGTGCGGTCTTGGTGGAAGCTATGAGCTATCGGTAAATAATTTTTTGAAAAAACTGGGCAACTCTTTTTCACTACACATTGGAAATACAGAGTCAGCCATCATTCAACTTCGGACGACTCGTTTGCCTATCGACCGCGCACCGAGGTCGAGGATCGGAAAAAGGTCGACAACCCCATCATGCGATTCCGCCTTTTTATGGAATCTCAAGGATGGTGGAACGCGGACGCCGAAACCGAGCTGAAGGCTCGTCTCAAAGAGGACGTCATGAAAGCCTTCAAGAGGGCGGAAACGCTTAAACGAGCTGAACTAAGCGAGTTGTTTACCGACGTGTATGGTGGAGAGCAACCATGGCATCTTGTGAGTCTGAATTTCATTCAAGCAGAAACTGTGTGTTGACGAATCTCAAATGTGTAGAAGGAGCAAAGGGCGGAACTCGCCGGTTTGTTGAGGAAGTATGGAAGTACCTACGAACCGTGGCGAAAGGAGCTGGCAAAGTTCAAAAACAACGGCCGAGATTTGCTCGATTAGAATACTATACCCTACTCTTGATGCATCACATAAAAACATTGGATCTCGTGCTGTAACTATGTCTGGCCGCTAACCTGTCGACGAGAGAGTTAGAGTCATTGTTAGACGAATATATAAGGCTACATATAGGCACTCAGAACTGCGGGATACGCTAGAACCTTTTTTGTCTTGATATACTCTCAATTTCTAGGTTAGGTGACGGAAATGCACATCCATCATTATATGTATAAAACAAACTTACAGGGATTAGTTCCAAAAAATGAATGAATAAATATGATCTGAACGAAGGGCCACAAATCATGTAGTACTTTCCGTCACCTAACCTAGAAATTGAGAGTATATCAAGACAAAAAAGTTGTACTACATAATTTCTTTATAAATTTGGTGTGGCCCTTTGTTCAGATCATAGTATTTATTCATTCATTTTTTGGAACTGATCCCTGTAGGTTAGTTTTATACATATAATGATGGATGTGCATTTCCGTCACCTAACCTAGAAATTGAGAGTATATCAAGACAAAAAAGTTCTAGCATATCCTGCAGTTCTGTGTTTACACATATGTCACCTCGCTTTAGCTAGGTCTCCCAGCTTCATATTTCTAAGCAAACCGAACATGTCACTCGTCCGCAAACATGGCGCAAATAATAGGACTTTCTGGAGGTCATATTGTTCAAGATTGGAACAAACATGTCACTCTTCCGCAAACATGGCGCAAATAATAGGACTTGCTGGAGGTCATATTGTTCAAGATTGGAACAAACATCTCACTCTTCCACAAACATGGTGCAAATAATATGACTTCACTATATGCTTACAGTTGATAACACTGCTCGTTGCCGCTGCGAGGAGTCGGCCGAAGGCCGGACGACGAGCAGCGGCCTCCATCAACAACCTAGATATTCAACTTCAATGCTCCAACAGAGTTCTCATGAAGAAACAAAAAATAAAAGGATAAGATTAAAAATGAGGTTTATGTTAAGGAAAATGGTCGAGTTCAATTCAAACATTTTGGAAGTTTTTTCGCTGGGTGAAGCTGAGGGTGTACTAAGAACTCTTACTAATGTATTTACAATACAGAAGCGAGGTTTTGTTGACGAAGTCAACCTCTAGTAAGTAGGGACTGTCATGGATACACCCGGGTATTATCCGTATCCGATCTGTGGATTTTCCCACCCGTGGATTGGATAAGCCACGGTACGGATATATCCATGGCTATAGTGGCTCAGAGCAGCCCTCCATATATCTTCACGAGTTCTTCACCGTTTTCCATGAAAAAATATGCGTTGGAAAGCTCCCGTTTGGGAGATTTTTATTCTAATAAAATTGACTGTAATATCCTATGTGAATATTAGTAGAAGCCCATTATTTAATAACAGTGGAAAATGATATGATCAAGCCTCAGTCCATGAAAATATTACCAGCATCCACATGAAGAGCAAACATCATGATTCAGACATAAAGTGAGTCTTAAAAGTAGTGACAAATTAAATATAGTCATCCTAAATTATATTATCTAGCTGTCATCAGCAAAATTCATACTTTGTCAGACTCCTCCCATTCCCAGATGTTTGAAAACATCCCAAATTCTTTTGGAGAAAGAATTTTTATTTTCATTTCCACAATCAAATTAATTTCAAATTTTTTTATTGCTCTTTATGCATACTGGATGAGCATCAAATACCATTATAAATGCTAGTGTAGTCATACTACTTACCCAAGTGTTATACATGATTTGGAAGGTTCATAAAGTATAAGCACTTTATATATTTACATCATATTTTGTATGAAATACACATAAGTACCCCAACCACTGTAAGAATTTTTGATGCTCACAGATGGGTATGGTAAGTGTGTTTGTCACTGATCTGCCATATACACATTCTCTTTCTGACCTGTTAAAGATGTTGTTAATTTATTCAAGACCAAATTAATCTCTGTATAGCATTCAAGTCAAAAAAATGTAACATAGTCCATTCTATGAATGCATATATAGTGGAATAATAAAATCAGAGTAAAATACAAAGGAAAAGCTGAAGAAGTAATTATATTTCCATGAATTCTTGTTCAAATTTATCAAAGGGTGTTTTTATTTTAAGAGGGAGTCAGATTGATGAGTTCCACAGGCTTACAAAGGGCAGTGGCGCATTGGAGCTGCTCCTGCCAAAGTCGTCCAAATATAGCATATGGATCACAGATATCCACAGATTTCTATATATATCCATGGGTCTGATCCATGGATAATGGGTATCAATGGCCACGGATAATACCCGGTTTTTGCCGATCCATGACAGTCCCTATATGTAAGTAGCCCTACATATTTGTCTAATGAGATGTCATGATCCCTCCCACCACAGCCAACCACAATTCTCTTGCTGCTATGCCTGAGGACAAAGTTCGTGAATTATGTTGCCTTGTCAAAGGCATTACAAATTTCATAATGATTTCTATACCTGTCAACAACATGGTTTATCAATGTTAGGGCTTCACACCATATGTATTACAGGTACGGCTGTACAGTTTACGGGCTCCATATGGGCCCTTCCACAACTCATCCGTACCGTACAAGTTAGAGTTGAATAGCCAGACGATACAGTATGGGAGGAACTATGGTTATATGGCTGTATTTACAGTATATGATAAAACTAAGGAACGAAGATTAAATGGGTAGTTTTGGGGGCTGATGAAGTTTAGCGGCAATCTTCTCTTGTGAAATTATTAACTTCCTCTTCACCAACATGAGGGTCCAGATGGTTTCTGGCTTGAGACTAGCATGACGGAGAGATATAGTATCTCAACTGCCAGAAAAAATCCATTCAATGGCTACAGCGGATCCTAATGATAAATGGTAAATTAGCATAATAGATAGGAGGTGACAAGATAATACCGGG